TTTTTACACGACCACCAAATATGATAATAGGTAGCATCCAAACAACCACATCTCCAACATTTAGGCTGTAGATCAGGGTACATAATAGACAATTTTTGTGGGTCAAGGTGCCATCTATAAAACATTTTATAAAAATTCTCTCTTAAATTCTGCGCTTGTGTGAATTTAACATTCCTCACCCATATAAGTTCCCAAGTATCCAATGGGATTGGTTCACCAATATTTTGTGCCCATTTAATCATACAATCTTATTAGATCTTCCAAAGATTTTAGCTGCCAATTTTGTCCATCCCATCTAAGTAGTTGTATATAAGAAACCATATCCATCTTAACTCCTCTCTTTATCCCCTCTATCGCATGCCAAGGTATAGCCCATAATGGTATTTTAAAATCACTTTTATAATATTTCCTCCATACCCTAAGCAAAGAAGTCCTTATAATATGGGATTTAAAAACCCGATCCACTTTTTTATTAAAAATTAAATAGGCATGCCATCCAAAAAGTAAATCCCAACCCTCCAAGTGGAGTATTTCTATATTTGTTAAGTTCACCCAATCACTAATCAGTGTTAAAACCACAGCATCATAATATAATTTCAAGTTTGATACCTTGAGTCCACCTCTCTCACGGAAATCTTGCATAATTTTAAGTTTTACCCTTGGTTTTTTCCCTGCCCAAATAAATTTGTTGATACCTTTCTGCCATTCATTTAAATTAAGTTCATTCTTTAAAATAGGTAACATTTGAAACAAAAAAAGAAATTTAGGTAGAACATTCATTTTAATAACTGCAATTCTACCCATGAGAGATAACTATAAGTTATCCCAGTTCTTTAAATCCTTCTGTACCCCAATCCACAACTTTTCATAGTTATTTTTATACAATTTTACATTAGAAACAGATAATATAACCCCCAAATATTTTACCTTATCAACAACTTCAAAATCTGTTAATTTAACCAAGGTCTGTTTGTCACAATTAGTCATATTTTTAGGTAATATTTTAGTCTTATTATTATTAATTTTAAAACCCAAAACACACCCATATTGATGAATCAATTGTAATAATTTTACTACCGAGTAAGTAGGTTGAGACAAAGTAACAACCAAGTCATCTGCAAAAGCTCTTAACTTATATTCTTTTTTGTTAATTTCTATTCCTTTTATTTCTTGCGATTCCCGAATTTTAATCAACAAAATTTCCAATGTTAAAACAAACAATAACGGAGATAATGGACAACCCTGTCTTGTACCTTTTTCTATTGTGAAAACCTCTGACAAACCCCCATTAACAATAAGTTGAGCAGTCTGTTTTTGATATATATTAGATAAAGCTTGTAATATATTTTGACCAAAATTCATCTCCTTAATTAAACTTAACATAAACTGCCAGTTCAATTGGTCAAAGGCTTTTTCAGCATCCAAAAATATCAGCCCTGCAGAGACTTGGTTGTTTTTATCTAAATATTCTAATAAGTTAATAATTTGTCTAACATTATTTTTCATATACCTTCCAGTTATAAAACCCGATTGGTCCTTATGTATAAGCTGTTGCAAGACCCCCATAAGCCTATTAGCTAAAATTTTTGCAAAAATTTTGTAATCCACATTTAAAAGAGATATAGGCCTGTAATTCTTAGGCAAAGTAAGATCTTGATCCTCTTTTGGAATCAGAGATATAAAAGCATTGCGCCATGATGGAGGAATCTCTAAACCTTGTAGTATATTATTAAAAAGCTCACGTAGAGGTTGGGTCATCTCTTCTACTAAAGTTTTGTAATAAATAGATGTCAGACCATCCGTACCCAGCGCTTTACCTAATTTTAACTGCTTGATAGCTGTCACAATTTCCTCTTTAGTAATTAAACCATTAATCTCTTTTTTCTGATCTTCTGTTAATTTAGGAAGATTAACTTTACTTAAATAATTATTTATATCTGTAGTTTGTACATTAGTACTCTTATATAATTTCTGATAATATTCTAAAAAAGATTTCTTAATCAACTCTTTCTGATAAACCAGTTTACCATTATAGTTTATTTTATCTATAAGTCTATGTCTCTGTTTCTTTCTTAACTGATAAGCCAACCATCTCCCTGGCTTGTTAGCATTACAAAATGTGTTTTGTTTCATAAACATTAAATTAGTTGCAGCTTGATCAGCCATCAACATATTGAATTGTGTTTTTAACAATTTTATAGCTCCTTTCACCTTTTCATCTAAAGGATTTGAGATTAAAAGCTTCTCTTTTAATTTAATCTCATCTTCCAATTCTTTACGTTTCTGAATCTGCTTTTGTCTATAAAAATTATTCATTTTTATCAAGATCCCACGCATAAAGGCTTTACTTGCATCCCATACCATTGACATTGATGTTCCCTTATACATATTTAAAACAAAATAGTCCCTTAAGCATTCCTTTAATTTCTGAACATTTTTTTCTTGTTTAAATAAATTCTCATTCAACCTCCAGGATCTCCTCTCCTCTTTCTCAGCAATCAGTTCCATCCAAACTGGACTATGATCTGTCAATGACCTAAGAAAATTTTTTACATTTTTCACCCTGTTATATAAATCTGTTGTGATCCAAAAAAAAAAAATCAATCCTTGAGAAAGATTGGTGTCTATCTGAGAAAAAGGTGAAGTCTCTTTCCTCTTGATTACGTTCACGCCAATAGTCTCTCAATTCCCAATCTTCTTTCAAATCAAAAAAAGCTTTAGGTAATTTAGCCTGTTTGAAAAAGGTAGAAAAACCTTTTTTATCCTTTTGTGTATCTAAAACACCATTCCAGTCTCCCATTAGTATCACAGACCTATAATCCAACAAAGTTATTTTCTAATGTAGCAATCTATAAAATTGTTCCTGTTGCTGGTTTGGTGCATACAGTCCCACTATAAGTATTTTTTTTACCATATAAGCCAAGTTCAATCATAACATATCTTCCTTGAGGATCTGATTCTACCAGACAAGCTGGTAGATTTTGCTTGACATAAATTACCACACCCCCTTTTTTCCCGGGGCAGGAGATACAAAATGAGATCCCAAGCGAGCATTAGCTAAATATTTTTGATCTTTAAGTAAGATATGAGTTTCCTGCAGACAAATAATGTCATTATTATGTTGCTTTAAATACTGAAATATTTTCTTTCTCTTCTGAAGAAAATTTAAACCGTTAACATTCCAGGTCAGGAACTTTGCCATCTCCCTCAACCAGGAGCCTGGAGAAGATTCCCTCTAGGTCTGCTACTGAAGAATGTATTGCAGAGCTTTTGGGTCTTGCTCCTCCCACTGGCATTGAAACAATCTGATGAGAAGATTCTTTAGCTTCTTTCTTCTGTTGTTCCTTTTCCTTACGTTTATGTGCTGCACGAGTCATTCTCTGTTCCTTAACTTCTGCTTGACGCATCCATTCCACCTGCCCAGCAGCCATCAAACCTCTTTCAGACTGCTGTTCCATCTCTTTATCACTCAAAACTCTCTCAGTCATGGATGAAGATGAGCCTGCTCCCAGGACCGTATTGTAAAATTCTTTAGCTTTAGCAACCGTGTTAAGTCTATAACGTGTTCCCACATGGCTCAAAACAATACCCATCGGGATCTCCCATCTAAATGGCATCAATCTTGTTTTAAGTTCATTTGCTAAAAAAGCAAAATCTTTTCTACTTCTTAAAATTTTGGATGGGATTTCCTTTAAAATAATGATATCTTGGGCAGCAATCTGGAATCTCTTATTATAAAATGCTTGTAAGATCTGATTACCCAGAGTCTTCTTAGCAAAATAAATCACCACATCTCTTGGCAAATTCTTCTGTTTCACAATCCAAGAATTAACTCTGTAGATTTTTTCCACTTCTCCACGTAATTCATCTTTATCTATATTCAAAACAGCAGCTAAGTCATTGATTACCATCTCCATCAAATCTTGATTCATATCTTCTTTAAGACCCCTAATTCTCAGGGCATATTCCATCTGTCTATACTGAAACATAAGAATATCATCTTGTGAAGTTTCCACCTTTTTTCCATATCTTGAAATTTATACTCAAGAAAATCTACTTTTTCAGCAACTTCTTCCACTCTGGAGTCCAGCTTCACGACCACAGAAGCCAATCCAGATAAAGCTGTGACTATATCTTGCCTTAAAATAGTATTATTCTGTTCAAAAAGCTGCTTCATTTCTTTCTTCATTTCCTCCTTACTTTCAGACTTGCTCTGTTCCAGAAGTTGCTTCACTTCCTCCCTAAATTGAGACACAGCATTTCCCATTATATCTTTAATATCTTGTGCAGACGAGCCTGATGGGGGAGGAGAAGGTGGAGATGTAGCCTTGGGTTGCTGCACCGGTGGTGTTACTTTAAGTTGTTGTTGAACAGTTGCAATAACAGGAGAAGAAATCACCTTAGAAACTATAGAAGCTGGTTGTCTCTTTGAAGCCATTTTAGAGTTAATCTCTCTTTCTTTCTTCTTAAAAAAAATGCTTAAATCTTTACAAATAAAAAAAACCAAAAAAATACAATAAAAATACAAACTTCCAAAGCCCTTTAAAAGAAAAAAGAAAAAGGAAAAAGAAACTTAAAAAAGAAGAAAAGCAATGCTAGGTATACATTTCAATCAGTCTGTCTTTTCTTTCCGGAGATAAAAAAAAAGCAACATTTTCAAAACGCCATTTTACTTTCACTCTCACTTTCCGATCGAAAAAAAAAATCACAAAAAAAGAATCAGCATAAGCTAAGAAAGAAATTAAAAAAGAAATAAATCTCTAACTCTAAAAAAAATCCTTTAAACAGTTCTGTCCGCTTTAAAAGTCACTCACCAGAAAACTTTAAGTGCGGAGATGGTAGCGGCGTTTCACTTTGTTTCCGAAGAAACAAAGACAGCTGAGAGGCGGAGAAGGCACGAACTCCGAGGAACACTCTTTCTACCCCCCTAAAAAAAAAATCCAGGGAAGGTTAAGAGGTTCTACCTCTATTCATGCAGTCTCTACCCCTTCCCTTCACCCGGGAAGGGGATTTCGAACCGCGGGCCAGCTGATGTACGCTGTGCTCCGCAGATCTGACACCGTCTCAGGAGGACGGCTACAAGGTAGCCGCCATCACCGTCGCTCACCACCGGAAGCTCTCAAAAAAATGTAATTTTAAGATAGAAGAGTCATTTCATATTTTTGCTGGAATATGATAATGAAGGCAAATGAATTTTACCACATCTTTTCTTTTGGAGGGAACTATCTTAGCTTCAGGGCAATTTACCTGTTCTAAATAGTGTACTTATGCAGAACTTGAGGGAAGTAAAGTTTAAGTTTTCATGTAAGAATAATGAGATATTTTATTCTGTTTGAATGAAATAAGCTTCTCTTGTTCAGGAGTCCTCTGCTGAAACAGCTACATGCAACATACCTTCAATAATTCTTCCAGAGTATGCCGTTAGCCCTGTTACAGAAAGAGACACAAATGTAGCACTCAGGTAATTAATGCATGCATGCCATTTTATTTCCATGATGATTGTCACTTTTGATGATATTGGCAGGTATATAAATCTAAATAAATAAATGTACAGACTCACATAAAAAAGACAGCTTTTGTTTGACAAAAATGTTTTAATCTATACTTATGTGTAAAGAAAAAAAATGGCTAACTAAGTAGTCCTTAGTTAATGATGATAATTGGGACCAGGAATTCTGTTGCTAAGCTATACAGGAGTAAAGCACAAAATCACACGATCACACCAATTTATAATGACAGTTGCAGCAATCTGATCTGTAGTTGTTACACAAATCCCACACAGATGTTAGGCATAACATTATGTGATCATCATTTGCCACCTCCTGCCAGCTTTCTCATTGACTTTGCTTGCAGAAAGCCATTAAGGAAGGACACAAATGGCAATCATGACTGAAGGATGTATAATTGCGAGTTGATTGCCAAGCATCCACACTACAATCACATGACTGCGGGAATGCTGCAATGGCTGCAACTAATGAGGTAGACTCTTGCCTGCAAAACCATATTTTGCAGTAAATTCTTAAATGTATCTCAAGGAATCACTTCTGTTTGCTTAGAAGACTACAAGTCTCATTCAGCACCATCATAACTTTGAATGGTCACTGAATGAATGGTCATTAATTAAGGGCTACTTGTATTCCAAAAGCTTGGAAGTGAATTGTTAAAAGGGAGTGCTAGTTCTTGACTATCTCTGGAGAGATGGCTTCTGTAGTCAAGGGACTTGTGCTGGGGGACCAAGAGTATTCTTAAAAGATGATAAAGTTTAAGAGAGCCGTAATTTAATCAATTAGCTGTTTTCATATCTATGGAGACATCCATATTTTTCTGACCAGGAGGACACCTATACTTACATTGCCCACTTGTTTTCTTGCCTCTGAAGGCTGTGGAGTAAATTTAAGTATTCCCACAAATACACATAAATGCATCCCTATTACATTTAAGCTTTCCATTTAAGAAAATTAAAGGTGAGACGGGTTCACCTATCCTCTGTAATGTCTAATTGGAACCAAAAGATAGCTTGCTTGCTTGATTGATTTAATTCAATTTTCAGGCTGTCTGAGTTCTTAATGACTCTGGGTGGCTTACAATTAAAAAAGTAAAACACCATTTAGAAAAAAATCACAATTGACAAAAGACCAATAAAACCCAATTGCCATGGGATTTTGCAACTACCTTATCTCAAGTCCTGAAAGAACAATTTGATTTTGAATGATTTTCTGAATGCCATTAAGGTGGGAGCTATACAAATCTATGGGACATTATCATTCCAAAAGGTGGGCACTGCAACAGAGAAGGCATGTTTTCTGGAGCCTACAAAGTGACGCACTTTGTAGGCCCCAGCACCCTCCCCTCACTGTATAGTCCCTCAGAGATCCCTCAGCTACAAAATTGGAACAATGAATGTCATTGCTGGCGGTATATAGGTAGTCCTTATTTCCTGAGTGAATTGGGACTAGCAACTCTACCACTAAGCAGTACATTAAATGAAACATGATTTCATTGACTTATGACATCAGTTCCGGTTGTGGTCATTAAGTAAATCACCTATAATCATTAAGCACGACATCATGTGATCGCGACTTGCAACTTTCTGCTGACTTCCCCTTTCACTTTGCTTCTTGGAAGCTTTATGTAAAGGTTGTAAAAGGCAAATTGTGACTGTGGGGGTGCTGAAAGGGCCCCAATTTCGAGGACCCTTTTATTTTAAAGTACTGTTGTAACTTTGAATAATTCCTGAATGAGCAGTTGGTAATAAGGACTAACTGTATTGAGATTTTAATACTACATAGTTGTTTTCATTTATTGTACGATGCTTTATGTTTTAAAGACACTGGATGAAAATTTGGGTGTCTGATGTCATCTCTTACATTTTACAGTAGTTTGAAAACACACACACACACACACACACACACACATATGTAGAGAGAGACTAACTTCTATACCATTTTCTAAGTTCCTTAATTCTAGAAAATGTTTATTTTATTTATTTATTAAAGTTTTATGCCACCCATCTCCCCTATAAGGTGACTGTGTTATTGGAAGAGTCAATTTTATATGGATACAGGTGCAGTTTATTTATTTGTAATGAAACCTGCATGACTCAAGCCAGATTTGTTATGCTAAATATAAAGAAAATATCTTTCATACAAATGAAGGCTGTATGAAGCAAAATATGCATTTTATTTTTTTCAAGAATAACATAATTTCAGAACTCATTGACTTAAATTGAGGATAAATGGATTCTCTCCAAAGTCAGTTAAATTCTTTAAGGTTTGTTCAAAGGAAGTATAGCCTCATCTTTTGAATAAAGATAAACATCAGCACCTTTGGAGAATTGTACTTTCCACAGTGGAACAGTTACCTTCCTTCTCTTCTAATCTGCTCACTATCTGGTTCCTTGCCCATCATCCCATCCCCTATCTTCCTCTCTACTTCTTCCCCTTCCCTACTGCTTTTCCATGTTCCATTTTTAAAATCTTTTTACTGCTTGCTTTATCTATTTTTGCGTCCATGGGTAGAGGAACCAGAAAATAGGACTGTCAGCCAGTTTTCAAACTAATAGTTGCTGATACCCAGTATGCTACAATTTTCAATTTTTGTTCCACTTATTGTTCACTTTGTTGTTTTTTAAAAAAGTACATTATTAATCTTACTTTTAATGGAGACAGGACATTTTAATTGAATTGCTTATTTTTCTAGACTCCTCTGTTATAACCCCAAACCTATTCCTACATACACTGAACATGGAACATATTCTTTATTATTGTTTGGATCATTTCAGTTTGCTTCCATAAGAACCATTATGATATTTTGTAATAATTCGGAATCCTGTTGAATTCAGATAGGTTTAACAACTTGGAAACATATTTCAAAAACCATTTTCCTGGGTTGCACATGTGGCAAAGTTCAACTCAATAGGAAGAGGAAGGAGTATTATGTATATTCACTGTCTTAAGTTACTTATGAAAGTAATAAAAGTAAGATTTAAAAATGTGATATGTGATTGGCCTCATTCGAGACAATGACAAATCCGCATACAGATGGGAAGTTGAACAACTAGCCTTGTGGTGCAGCCGGAACAATCTTGAACTGAACACACTCAAAACTGCAGAAATGATAGTAGATTTTAGGAGAAGCCTTCCTATTCTACCACCTCTTACAATACTAGACAACATAGTATCAACAGTAGAGAGCTTCAAGTTTCTAGATTCAATAATATCTCAAGACCTAAAATGGATACCTAACATCAAAAATGTCATCGGAAAAGCACAACAAAGAATGTTCTTCCTGCACAAACTCAGAAAATTCAGACTGTCCAAAGAACTGCCGAAACAGTTCTACAAAAGAATTATTGAGTCTGTCATTTGCACTTCTATAACTGTCTGGTTTGGTACTGCAACCAAACAAGACAGACACAGACTTCAATGGATAATTAGAACTGCAAAAAAAAAAAAAAAAAAGCTACCAGCCTGCCTTCTGTTGAGGGCCTGTATACTGCATAAGCCAGAAAGAGGGTTGCAACCCCTCACACCCTGGACATAAACTTTTTCAACTTCTTTCCTCAAGATGATACTATAGGGCATTGCACGCCAAAATAATTAGACACAAGGACATGTTCCCCCCCCCATGCCATCACTATGCTAAACAACTAATTCCCACAACACTGTCAAACTATCTAGTAGAACTGTATTACTATTATCCTTCTCATCTTTCCCATTACCAATTTTCTTATCTTCTTATGACTGTAACTTTGTTGCTTGTATCTTACAATTTATATTAATTGTTTTACTTAGTATCCTAGTATGATTTATGTTGATTGCTTATTTAGTATCTATAACTATCACTAAGCATTGTATCTTAGAGTTTATGATGAATGTATTTTATGATTATGATTTACGTACACTTATGCACTGGACACAAATTCTTTGTGTATCCAATCACACTTGGCCAATAATGATTCTATTCTATTCTATTCTATTCTATTCTATTCTATTCTATTCTATTCTATTCTATTCTATTCTATTCTAGATATAAAGACTTAATTCCCAGTAGCTCAGTGATATAAAGGAATGAGTGAATTCATAGCATCAGCGTTTGAGTGGCATCTCAATTTTAGCCTGCATTTATACATCACAATTTACTATTTTAATTATAAATACAGAAAAATCAGTATTTTTTTCACAGTACAAAATAAAGATGAATAGATTCATAGAAACATTCTCATGCCCTTAGATGCATATACACATAGATGTACATACCTGCACACATATATTAATTTTAACAGTTTTCAATATTGCTGGGTCTTTTCCCCTAGGCCTGTTAGCCCTCATCTGCGACATTCTAACAGAAATGCTAGAAAATCAGCAAACTCTTTGACTTCTGTAGGTAAGAACCATATACTGTTGCCTGCCTTATTTTTTCTTTCAAATTACTTATACACACAAATTGGCAGAATTTCAAGTACTGGTATTAGTTCATTTGCTTCTATAAGATTGAATCTGTTGTAAAAATATTTTATGGCTCCTTATATTGTATGCAGTATAAAAGGTTTTTTTTAATCTTACTTTGTATATGGTATAGTTAGAGAACGTGTAAGACAGTGGAGAAAATAGAAGGCAATATATCAGGGCTTCATAAGACATCCTTACAAACACAGAATGCATTGATGTAATCCTGAATGTTGTCTATAACAGAAGATTCAAGACCTGTAAATATCAAAGAACAAAGAAATATATCACTGCCTAACCTTGTAGATGCCAAATATCACCTTAACCTCTGACAGTTTTATGTGCTATTGTAACCAACATTGCCTCACACAAAACCAACACTAATATGAGGATATCTACAGACTCAATTATAATAGATATATTTACAGATAGTAAAAATACTTTACAGAATAGAGAGCAAATTGCCCTCATTTAGCTGGTCAGTTGTAGTAGACATTTACCAATAGTTTGTATATAATACACTCATTACAGCAGTCAAGAAGAAACAGTTCAAATGTGCAGTTGTGTTATGCATGCATTAAGTTAATTCAGTACTTTCCTACTTAGATAATGAAGGTCATGTAATTGATCTCCTTCATGACCAACTGCCAGATATACAAATATCTGATGAAGATAAAAAGAAGAACTTTGAACTATTAGAAGAAGCAAAGAAGGTGAGTGAGAGGTTCCTCACACGTAGAGGAAGAAAATCAAGAAGCAGCCTTTCAGAATCACCCACAGGTATGTATTCCAAAATACCATCTTTGAGACTCTGTGCAAATGGAACTCATGGTTAGCTGACATACAACAACTATGATCTTTTATTCCAAGAATCGTGTGTAAAGGAGTCCACTAAAATGAGAATGTGTTTTACTTCAACACTGATACAAATGCTCTGCATTCCAGCAGTTTATTTATTTACTTGAATTGTCCAGCTTCCCCAATTCCAGGTAGTTTACCATAGAGGTTCTACCCAATCATCCCAGACTGGCCACAGTTTGACAGAAATAAAACTTAAAACTGTTTTGTTCTGGGATTTCTGTGTTCAGATCTATTACACAACCCTATTGTGAGGTAGATTGAGCTAAGAGGTAGTAATTAGGTCAAAATCACTCAATGACTTCCCATAGCTGGAGATAGACTAGAACCTGGATCTCCCTATATCCTAAACTCTATTATCATAATGGGTCTGAGAAAAGTTCAGTGATTTTATAAAATGCCATTTTGGGGTGATCCTTACTGACTGTTCTATCCCATACAGAAGGATGTTTAGGAAGTATAATGGTACCTTGGTACTCAACTGCTTTGAAACTCATCAGATTTGCTACTCAACACATTTTGACACAAAAAGGTTGTCCTAGTACTCATTGTTTGCTTAGTACTCAACACACAAGCTAGAACTTGTCAGTGTCAGCTGCCTTGTGACTCAGTACATTATACCGTATGGGAAAAATTTGTTTGGTACTCATCATTTTTGGTACTCATCGCACATCCCAGAACCAATTAATGATGAGTACCGAGGTACCACTGTACTATGTTGAACTAAGCTCTTTTACCCCTTCTCTGTTTTGTTGTCTATAACACTGATATTATAGTATTATTTTAATACATGCTTTGAGTTTAACTTTACCATTATAGAAAATTTATCAAATGCCTCACAAGTGACATCTTTATTTAATGCAGCTTTATCCCCATCACTAAGCCCAAGTGTTTCACCTGCTTCATCTCGGAGCAACTCGTTGACACTTCCAGATCCAACAGGTAAAATCAGTGGTGCAACACTCTAATATAGAATGATGCTTTTATGTTAGTTAGTCTTGTGTTCTAGAAAGTTGACTGTTAAGAGATGTTATAAATATATTTACATAGAAGTCTCCCTCAGAAATTTAATAGGAATTATTTTGCAACAGTGGGTTAAAATAAGAATCATTCTGTTTCCTATCATGGCCAATCAGATCACCAACTGAAGAAGCACAACTGAATAGACGACTTAATGCTATTCTCTTCAAGCTAGTACTTACTGGCATGTTGGTTTTGATCCTGAAGGTTCAATTGGATCTATCATCTGTTCATAATTAGGTGATACATATACAAATCTGTCTATTTTAATTACTTTTAAAACTCTTTTTTTTTACCAAACTGGTGCCTTCCAGTTGTCAAATGTTCTTAGAACCGGCAACTATCCTGGCACTAGATTGGGGAAGGCATGTGATACCAAGTTAATGTCAGTAGTTGTTTCAATCTGATGGTAGTGAATCCATTCTTGTGGTAGTGAAAGTGATTCTTTCAAAATATTTTATAATTAGCTGTTCTTAGCATGCACTGAATATATTTGCAATTTTATAATAAAATAAGCATCCATCCTCTCAACAAACAAAATAACAAGTAATGCAGGCAGGTCTGAAACAAGTCATATAGCAGCTGATTTTAATTTTCAGAGACAATATGAATTAGGTAAAAATGACAGGGAAATTAATAACTCTCCTTTGGGAGGATAGTTCATGACTTCAGAGAAAGGCTTCTTATACAACGAGATCCAGAGTAGCACATTCTCAGCAGGTTATATGTGCTGAAATGGATTGGCTCATAAGAGAAGTCCTAAGGTATGCAGTGATTTTCTTCAGATTGCCATACCTCTCTTTGATGTATCGTATGTTGGAAACAAACTGAATACTTTTACTGCATATTTTTCATATTGCAGATTCTGATATATGCACATCAGTTCCTGAGTCAGTATTTCCATTGCAGGTAAATATGCTTTAATAGTCATTATTCATTTAACATAATCTGTCAAGATAAATTAAATGTTATTTTGAGAAATGGAAATGATATGGGCAAGTAACTAGCTTAGCTATGCTGCACTGAGAGATTGCTTCACCAAATCTGGGCATGTTGTCAGAGTCCAATGTGAGAGAACAGAGTCAAAAACACTATGAAAGGTCACTTGGAAGGAACCCTTGATGGATGAGTGAAAAGTTAAACTTTTTTTTCTATTGAAAGGATCTGATGCTTTTAACTGTCTCTTTATCCAGTTTGTATTGTTAAGTGAAATGTCTGGTTTGCAGTATATAAATTTATCCTCCTGGAGCAGGGGGGCTGACAATGGTAATTGATGCTTCAGTCAGTAACCCAGCCATTACTTGAAGTTGCATATGAGCAACTTAGTTCATATTGTAGCAACCCACAAATTGGTGAAGGAAGGCCCTATCTTACAAAATGAAATCCCATGATGAGAAAAGTAAGCTTCTACCCTTAAGCAAGAAAAATCAAAAGCACAGGTATAGAATAAGTAGGACCTGACTCAATAGTAGTAACTGTGAGAGGAATCTTGGAGTCCTAGTGGACAATCACTTAAATATGAGTCAGCAGGGTGCAGCAGCTGCCAAAAAAGCCAACGCAGTCCTAGGCTGCATTAATAGAGGGATAGAATCAATACCACTTTATGATGCCTTGGTAAGTCCACACTTGGAATATTGCATCCAGTTTTGGTCGCCGTGATATAAAAAATATGTTGAGACTCTAGAAAGAGTGCAGAGAAGAGCAACAAAAATGATTAGGCAACTGGAGGCTAAAACATATGAAGAATAGTTGCAGGAATTGGGTATGTCTAGTTTAATGTAAAGAAGGACTAAGAGTGACCTGATAGCAGTGTTCCAATATTTGAGGTCAATCTATTCTCCAAAGCATCTGAAGGCAGGACAAGAAGCAATGGATGGAAACTAATCAAGGACAGAACCAGCCTAGAACTAAAGAGAAATTTCCTGATAGAGCAATTAATCAGTGGAACTGCTTGATTCCAGAAGTTGTGAGTGCTCCAACACTGAAGAGATTTAAAAAGAGATTGGACAACCAGTTGTCTGAAATGGTATAAGGATTCCTGCATGAGCAGGGGTTGGACTAGAAGATCTTCAAGGTTCCTTCCAACTCTATTATTCTATTAAGATCTCTAATCGTAGAACATTTAAACTGAAGGTACTGTACTCTACGAGTTGCCCAGGTGTTTCTGGATGCAATTCAAAGTGCTAGTTTTAACCTATAAAGCCTTACATGGGGTGGATCCAGGTTCTCTGCATAGAAGCAGTCCATTCATATTATTTATTTATGAAATTTTGTATTTCAAAAATAATCTTGGTAAGTCTTTTTCCCCCTGCAATTTGTAACATTTTATTAGATCATAAAATAAAATACAAAAATACAAAAGCAAATAGTAGGACACAGTAGGGATGGAAAAGGGAAAGATAAGTGAGGGGGAGAAGGGAAAAAGAAAAGAAAAGGCAATAGAATAAAGCATTAACATCGAACCTTGATTTTTTACTTTTCCATAATAGTATAAATTAGCCATTTCTATAAAAACAAATCAATCTAATCAGTAAAATTCCAAATCAAAGCTTCATTTTTTTTCCATCTCAAGGACAAAATCCAAGTAGAAACAAAAGTACTTATTTTCTTTTCTTTAATCAAAACGGTCAGTTTAGCCATCTCTGCCAACTCCATCATCTTCTGTAGCCATTCATCCATAGTGGGAATCGAAATGTCCTTCCATTTTTGGGCCTACAATAGTCTTGCTGTCGTCAACATACATATAAGATCAAAACATCTTGGTAAATCTCTATGGAGATTCAGTATAGTACCATATCTAGAAAGAAACTGGATAGATAGCGGTGCTGTGTTCTGGTTCCATATAAATGCTTCTTGAGAGAAACATTTGTTTTCTAGATTTCTGACATCAAAAACAAGTTTTTTTTTCTGAAGTAAAAAATATAACAGAGATTGTTTCTACCACTGAAATATTGTTGGTCCCTTCAAAAAAAAAAAAAAACAAACCAGGAGTTTACAAAATAAAACTTCTAAACTGATTATTGAATGATTTTAAGTATGCTTGTTTAATTTCAGAATCCCACAAAAGGAGTACCTAATCAAAAGGAGGATGATCAGAGAAAAGCTTCTCAGGGAAGATTGGTTCCTCACGCAACTGGTTTGGAAAGTCCAAAGGAGGTGTCTGAACAAAAGGAGAACTTTGATCCATATAAACATATGGATAATCTGCCTCAATTCTGCACTTCAGATTCCAACACTGGCAAAATATCTCTAAGTAGCAGCAAGAACTTCTGCGAAACTGAATTAGGGAAAGAATTCCCTAAAAAAATGAAAGGAAATGACTTTCCTTTGAAAGGTCATTTACCTGGACCAGGAATGATTGCACTGGGCACGAAGTTAAAGGGCTCAGTGCCACTACTGAAGGATTCCATAGTTTCTAGTAAAACTGAATTTAATGCATCTAGTAATCGCTCTCCTCTACTACGAGCTATGTCATGGGATCAGCCTGAACCATGTAATGTAGAAAAAGTACCTTTCAGACCATCTGAAGATATTAATAACTGCGCTGGTAATATAGCAGCTGATAATATAGCAACTAAGCTTCCACCATTCAAAGACCTTCAGATACAAGTTCAGCCAATTCGAATGCAGAAACTGACGAAGCTCAGAGAAGTGAGTTTTGATAAGTTGATAGGAGGAAGTTCTGGGCAAACTATTCAGTATTTGTTTCAGTCTTATGTAATAGAATGGGATTATAATGTAGTAAATTATATTTTAAACCTGCAAAAATATATTTCTCTTCCATAGTTTATTATACCAGAAATGTACAGTTTATTATTTGAAATGTACAGTGGAAGATGGATAAAATTAGTAGTCTGTAGGGAGGGAACAAACAAACCCAGCCAGACCTCTGGGAATTCATTCAAATGAGTTGCACAAAATAAACGCCTCTACCTTGATGTAATAGACACCCCTTCTACCTATTATGTTTAGTTATAACATAGAATGTAATCAGTGCCTGCTGGATCACACCCCTGAACCACATGGTCCAGCAATCTGTTCTCACAGTTGTCAGCTAACTGCACAAGGAAGCCTAATATTTTCCCCACATATTACTTTCATAGGCAGCCACATTGCCATCAGTTCTAATAGCCATTTATCCCTATGATTTCCATGAATTGATCCAGTGTTTTTTGAAGCCAGCCATGCTGGTAGCCAGAATGACATCCCTTGATTTTATTTGTGTAGGGCTAAGACTCTGAAGATTGTGGCTGTAAGTCCACATCATTTTTGTAGCCTCTCCCAAAGTCTGTTCAATTGTATTTGTGCAATTTTGGGTTATGATTACCACCTTGTCCTTTCATGCAGTTACTTTTTTACTTTTCAAAAAAATATTTTAATATTTGCGTTCCCAAAATTATAGCAAAATGTCAACTGAAATGAAATATCTAAGACGTTACGTTTCCTGTGGGAGCAGCTTATTTTCCTGTGCCTTAACAGCTGTTAGTCACAATGGTTATATTTATTACCTCCAGTATCACTGGCAGTATGACTCTTATTTCTGGGGAACCTAAGTGGAAGGATGCTCCAAGCCTTATCCTGACAGTGGCTTCCTGCAGGCTTTTTGATTGGTTGCTGCAAGAACAGAAAGCTGGGCTAGATAAGGATTTGGTCTGATCTGGGAGGCTGTTTTTATAGTCTTAATATCTGCAACATGTTTAGACATTCATAATTATTCTGTTTCTCGGAAATAAAGATGGGCTAGAAGCAGTATAGCAGATGTTAACACTTTCTTTAGTGCAGATAAAGACAGGAAGCAATGTCTCTTTGCTATTTTCTGCCTGAGCAAAAGGCAGGGTCTTTTCCTTCATATTCAGAGAGAAGCAGCTTGCTCATCGGTGAAGGCTGGAAGCAGTCATTTCCTTTTTACTTCTGCCTGGAAGAATGGGCTGTTTTCCTTCCTCACATAACCACTGGGATCAAGGAAGGATAGTTGGAGGTGGCTAGACGATAGGGGCCAACCTTCTAACTTCGGGCTCATAAGGTGGAGATTCAGTTTCATTTCTCATATGAAGAATCAATTCCTTTAAAAAAATATTATTAAATTTAGAAAACGTCCCTAGCTTCCATTAGGAAAAATGAACATAAATGATGGTAAAAGCATTTTAGCTTTGGACATAGTTATGCAAGACATATACGGTAGGCAGGAAGAAGCTGACAAACTGTCCTGTCATTTTAGAAGGTAATATTTGTGCATGAAATAAACCATTTTATTTCTTCACAGCCAAAAAACCCCACCCCCATCTCTCTTTCCTTCTGCATACAAATCTGCAATGTTCCTTGAAGAGTTTCTGCTATAAATGTGCTTCCTTTGCTTTTATATCTTGTTTTTCACTAAACTGATTTCAAGGGAACCACTTTTGTACAGCAGAAATAGTCTGTCTAAAATGGAGCAACAAACAGGCAAAATCAACAACCCTGCACTAGGTAACAGTGCAAAAATTGGTAGCTCAAAACCAGTACAATTTGAGGAAGTCAACGGTATCCCCTCTTATGTCAGTAAATATACTCTTAAGTCTTAGATGACAATATATTATTAACAATCACTTATCCTTTAATCTTTAAATGTTTAAATAATATTTAATATTATTTTAAATCAGTTTCAGAAGGATAGGAGCACAGAACAAACGAATGGGTATTTTAAGCATAGCTTATAATGTAAATGTAATGTGTAATGTAAAATATACACCACCAAATCACTTACTATAGTGCTAGTATGGTTTTAGGAATGTTTCAGCTTTTATAACTTAATGGAAACATTAAGAGCTTTATTGACCCAAAATGAAATACATATGACAAGAAAATGCCTCTGCAATATTGCAGTTCAGTGCATCAGCAGAAATAATATTAGGTTTAAAAGTTTAATTGTACACATGGGAGATTGATTTAACTGAATTTGCAGCCTTTTTGGCCATGATCTTAAAAGAACATTTCTTTCTAGTCCCCTTTCTGTCTAGCTAATAACAGCCATGTGGCAAATTTTTCATTATTATAGTATAAATGCTAGGAGGAAAAGCTAAATGGAATTTCCTGCCTGCCTCCCCATGTAACAAATATCTACAACCTGCTGTTATATTAGGGGGGAAACCCTACTTGTAATACCACATGCACCATTAGAAAACTTGTGTGAACTTCAGCTTCATTAGTTAATTTTAAGAAAAAATCCTCAGGGCATCAGACTATTACTGAGGGTATTTGGGGGATTAGTGATTTTTTTTGTTTTTTTAAACTTGTTATCCTGAGAGACATGAATTTAAATTGCATTTTACTATTTTATTGTACGTTAACAAATCATTTACTATAAATAAGCTGCTCAGATAATACTGCATGTTGTTGGCAACCAAATAAATATAGTAACTAAAACAGCAAAAGAAGCGATGTTGATAATTTTAAGTTTTTACTACTAGAGCTACTTTAAGAAAGGTCTAGTGTGCTTTTTAGTAGATAGATTTAGAATATTTTGTTTTACTGTTTCTCATTTGTGGGTACAATTCAGAATCTGTCTGAATTTTTAAAAGTTCTGTCCTATTTATGAATTGAGATGAAAACAGACTTTTTTTTGTAGACTGTTGACAATTAGAGACTACTTGATAGTGTCATATAATGAAATTGGCTGTCCTAGCACCTTCTTCTTTTCCTAACTCTTTAGTTATTCCCACCAGTCTTGTTTTAACAATATTTTATCCTTTTAATATTTTGCAAGTATCATTTTTATAAGGGGTTCTTGGTGCTCTCTGAAGTTGGTTGTTTTCTTGCAGATGTTTCATTACCCAAACTAGGTAACATCATGACTAATAATATGACCTAGTTTGGGTAATGAAACATCTGCAAGAAAACAAGCAAGCTCAGAGAGCACCAAGGACCCCTGGTTTCAACCCTGAGCTACAAATATTCTCCTTTATTGGTATCATTTTTATAGTTGTGAATCATGTTGGGAATGTTATATAGTGAAGGATAGAATTTAGACTCAATATTCTTGTTACTAAATCAAGCAATTCCTAGATTACTGTCAGCTTTTTATGTATTTATAACACTCTATTTAGTAGACTTTGTTATTGAAAAGTTATTTTTAAAATAAAATATTAAGAAATAATTCAAGTTTTTTTCCCTTCACCAGGAACATATATTGATGAGAAATCAAAATTTAGCTGGACTTAAACTTCCTGATCTTAGTGAAGCTGCTGAACAGGAAAGAGGTGAAATACAACTAAATTGCATATATGCATATATATTTGATTAAATGGGAGGAGACATGACTTTCGTAGCCACAACACTTTTTTAAAGCTGAGCCTTTTGCTAAAAATCTTTAGTAAGGATGACTTAATGTGTAATCTCTTTCTGAATGAGTGTAGGACATGAGTGGATAACAGTTGGAGAACTGAAAGTTCACTACTACTGGAATGAAAGGGGAATAGTACATTATTATGGAAACTATACAAGTGTATATTGTACATGTGCCATGTAGAAAATTGGCAAATGACTCAACAGTGGACCCATGGTCTTAAATATAGTTATATTCAGTTGATTACAATAATATTTGTATCTTATGATTTGTATTTGAGATTAAAACTATTACCGGACAACCTATCAAGCAGAATATAAGGATTTATTATGCATTTGCTGAAAAATAAATGTCTGCTTAATTTTTGTACAATGGAATATTCTTTGATCATCCCTTTGGAGTATTTGAGTTTAATCAGTAATCCAGAAATTGAATATTTTTGGATTAAATTTATTCTGAAATTGGTTGCTTAGAGCAGAATGCCCTTTCCCCCCCACCCAACTTCCCAAAACATTTGAACCATCAGAGTGTGATACTTAACATTCTTCAGTTGTTTAGTTGTTTCTGTTTTAGCAATGAAACTTTTTTTTCTTTAGGGTCTTCACCAATCGCTTTCTCAGTGGAAGAAGAGGAGTCAAAGAATAGATGTGATGTTATGCCCAACATTCCTGACACTCTTTTACGAAAACTTCATGTACAAACACCATTTCCAGGAAGGTAAATCCATCTGTGAGTGGTATTTTACGTCTGAACATATGTAATGAAAGACATACTTAACCTCATTAAAGTGAGTTGGGAAGGGGTGGAGATTCTCTGAATTCCACCTTTGTCTATATTGCCATAACGTAACAAAAGGAATGTAAAGTAATACAGTTTTACCGAACTAAGACTATGGGGACAGGGTTTATTTCCCAGTCGACTGTGAGAGACCCTGAGCCAATTATCACTCTCAGATTTTCCAGGGTTATTCCAAAATAAAATATTATATGTCACCTTGAGCTTTGTCATTTCACAATCCTGTAATATCAATGACATACAGTCAATTATTACAAATAATATGGTTTATTTTTTATATTTTAGTATGCTTGTCACTCAACTCTAGAGATGCACGATTCACATTCTATAACCTTCTTGAAATGCTCAACTTACCGCTACAATAATGATGCTGGTTCTGTGTGGAAAAATCTTTACTTTTTAAGGAACCAAGGTTCTGTATCTTGCAATGTAATAATGAAATTTACAAATCATAAAATATGAATTAAAATGGGCTTGAGTTTGAGTAAGATATGTCATAGTACATTTTTTCATTCTCTAATTACAGTATATATACAGTTAGCTGATTATTAGCCAATTAAGAAAAAGGCCTTAGATGCTGATTAAATATGCAGAATACTGTAAATGGCTTTTAAATGTAACATATAAGTTATTCCTGTTCTTATTGCAGTTCTCCACCACTTACTGAAAGAGAGGTTGAGGTAAGCGTTTTTAATCTAAACAACACAAAAGCAATCAAGTTTTGTGTATCAAATAATGCGGATGCTGATTGATGTTTTGTTGAGAAGCTTTACTTGCTTTCAGGGAATGCTATGTTTTTCAGTTAAAGACTTGATAAAAATATATCTGAAGAATGTTCTCAAAATTTCATTTACAATAAATAGAATATAAAATGTGCCTTATAATAATATATGCGAACATACCAGATTAGGTCAAAAGGTAACAGAAGAATTCTATTTAGCTGCCAGCACTGAGTTATGGAATATAAATTAAACTTATAGATCTGTGGTTAAGATTTTCAAGAAACAAAAATCAAGAAACCATGATAGAATCAAAGCTTTGTATACTTTTGCTAAGAAAAGCCAACACAAAGTTATTTTAACTATCTGTTTCTATATCTAGCATTAACTTAGAAACACTCACTCTATCTGATGGCCACAATGTAAAAATTCCTAGTTATGAAGTGGTGCAGAGTCTACTTGAACAAAGTACTGAAGTTTGTTCATCTTTCCTTTTACAAGAAGCTTTTAAAACTATAGTCCACAAGAGACTGGCCCCTAAGAATTATTATAGCAAAAAGCACAAAGCGGGGGGGGGGGTTAGAATAGAAAATAATAGAATAACACAGTTGGAAGGGACCTTGAAGGTCTTCTAGTCCAACCCCCTCCTCAGGCAAGAAACCCTATACCATTTCAAACAAATGGTGGTTGTTGTTGTTGTTGTTTTAAAAAAGCCTTTTAAAGAATATCTCTCTCAGGACAATTTCTTACTCAGATTTTCTATTCATTTCTGTAAAGAAAGAATTGGCAATTAAAAATTGACTTCAGCTTCAGCAAATAAGTTTTAATATTTGAATGGAAGACCATTAAGAAATCTTAATACAAATTAGACTTGAGAACCAGGGAGAAAAACATGCCAGAATACGAAAATAGCCAATCACTTCATAATGTAATTAAGGGAACTACACAGGCTTGTCCATGAAACTATCAAGAGTTTAACTCAATTGGAAGAGGCTTTATCTAATCTGTTTTCCCAATCTGGAATTTCCAGCTGTGTTGAGATTGGAGCTCCTGAATTCTGAAAGTTGTAATTTCAACACAGTTGGAAGATGTTCGGTTATAGGCTGTATCACATGATTAAATTGTTGATTGCACATAGAGAAACTTTATCCAAATATTAGTGTTGTCACACAAATTCTATTTATATTTATTTAGCTACTTAGCTAAAAATGTTGCTGGTTCAGAAAGACCATTCATTTTCATTTCGTTATAGAGGCTCTTGATTTGGCAGAATGTTATAGAAAAAGTAGCCAACAGCATGCCAATTTTCAGTTAGTAAACACTGTTTTATAAGCAGAACTGATTTTGACTTAAAGCCAAAAACTAACCGTAGTTTAGGAACTTCTGGTTCAAAATTCTAAAAATCACCACTTAGTACTACAGCTGAAGCATGAGAATTTTATGGAAGATATAACTCAGAAAGACTGTTAGAACCAAGCAGACTGACTATAGGCTTGGAATGATTTATTTCCAAATGAGAAAAATGTTCACCTTAAGCCTAGTTTTTGAAAACCAAATGTTTTGGACAAATTATGTTCTTCCTAATATATTATTATAGGTATAGATTATTATAGATTATAGGAATTATTGAGTCTGTCATTTGTACCTCAATAACTGTCTGGTTTGGCACAGCAACCAAACAGGACAGGTACAGACTTCAATGGATAGTTAAGACTACAGAAAAAACAATTGCAACCAGCCTGCTTTCCATTGAGGACCTGTATATTGCATGGGTCAGAAAGAAGACTGAGAAAAATATCTACAGACCCCTCACATCCTGGACATAAATGGTTTCAACTTCTCCCCTCAGGATGCCAAAACAACCAGACATAAAGATTTTTTTTCCCTGTGCCCTCACTCTGTTGAACACTTCATTCCTACAGAACTGTCTCATTTCTCATCTTTTCTCATCTTCTCATCTTTCCTACTATCTTCTCCTATTAGTTTCTTATGATTTATCAATTGCTGTTTGTAACTTATGGTTAATGATTGTAACTATGGTTATGACCTATGACCCATTACTTGCTGTTTATATGTCCACTGTGAGCTTGTTAATCGGAGACAAATTCTTGTGTGTCCAATCACATTGGTCAATAAAGAATTCTAGTCTAGTCTAGTCTAGTCTAGTCTAGTCTAGTCTAGTCTATATAAAAATTCAATGCTTAAAAGCTATTGAGTATTTTAAAAGGTTCATTTTATTGTCAGAATAGTGCTGCCTTCTTTACATTATTTTTTATCTGTCCATTATATATAGCGTGTAAAAAATGGAAGATAGCTACAGAAATTATATTGGTGCTCTCTTGAAAAGGCATTGAGTTTGCAGATTAATAACATTTCATATATTTCAGCTTGCCACCAGCAGCTTCTTTATAATACCACCCTACATGATATAAAGCAAGTGTGATGTGCATGTTGTTGTTGTAGGTACCTTAAGCCCATTTCTAATTAGGCAGGTATAATTTTTTTTAGAGTAGAGAATATGATTCCCTAAAAAGCCAATATGTAAGAGTTTGTTGGTAGAAATTAATCCCTACATTCATCTTCTTTAGGATTGATGAAAGGATTCAATTGATTTTTATTTCCCTGCAACAGAATGTATTTATACAACTTTCACTGGCATTCAGAAATGATAGCTATACATTGGAATCAAGAATTAATCAAGCTGAAAGGGAGAGAAATCTTGCTGAAGAAAATACAGAGAAGGAATTAGACAACTTCAGGGGAGCAGTTACGGTAAGACAAAACATGCTGGGTACCTTTATTGTGGTCTGTTATGTATCTTTAAATTTTCAATAGGTTACTTGTTAGATTTCTGTCTTGTCATTTTTTATATAGAAGCTCAAGGCAGGGTACATAGAATTTCTTCTTCTATGATTTCCCACAGTTACAAAACTGTGAGTTGTAAGAGAGTGGTCTAATTGAGTGATTGTCATGCAAGGGGCTTCCATGATGGACTCAAACTCCAAAATCCAAACAGTTTGGGAATAATCAGGACAGCCCATTTCAAATTCAGAACAATAGGAAACTTGAATATTTAAAATTCTGAACACCTTTACTTCCATCATGAACTTAGAATTTGTGTAAGATCAGAAATGGCCTTCAGTGAAAAAAGGTACATGGGCAGAATGGACAGCTTATTTTCTGTCTATCTATATGTTTGTCTGTCTATTCATCCATCTGTCCATCCACCCCCCCCAACTATCCATCTGTCCATCCATGCATCCATCCATCTATCCATCCATGCTTTCATCCATGTATGCATCCATCCATCCATTGCTCTGGATCATGATTTTTTGAAATCCAACTACCATCATTTTGAAGTAGTATCCATTTTTAAGAAAGATGTTTGTACTGGTAGTAATACTAATTGACTTACATATTAAAAGTTGCCATGGTTTCTGATTAAAAGTTCCCATTTGACAGGGTAAAGCTATTTACAAAATTTTAGATCCAAACTTCAACTATGTTCATTTTTTAGGTGTAAAAAAGAGCCTAAGAATTCAAATATTTGGAGTTAATAACAACTACTAATAAGGAAAAGTATTGCTAAATAATTAATTCAGCAAAGCATGACTGGAGTCAGCCAGGCTTCATATTTTCTGACTTTTCTTTTGGTGAAATATAAGAACATTTTAAATTCCAATCATGAATTTTCATGAATCTATCTCTTCAAGTTTACATGTTTTCTAACATTACACTAAAAATACAGTATATTGTTCAGGTGTTTTATATTTTCTTGGTGGATTGATGGAACAAGTGTACAAGTAGGTGATAGTTAGAAGATCATTATTATGCTTTATGTTTTTCTGAGTGAGAGGAGGACAAATGGATGATGAACGCCTGCTCTTGGCCAAGTAATTATTTAGACATTGACTGTCAACAGTATGTTTAGAATAAAATAAATTCCTTTCATATCTATATTGTATTTTCAAGTTTTTAGATTTTTAGAAACAGATGAAAACTTTTATTTTATTATGTTTATTGCAAATTATCATTCTATAGCTTTATTGCACTTTGACTTTTGAGATTCAAATAATAATTAATAATATTTTTAATTTATAATATAGTTAATATATTATGGAATACTCTGTTTCAGTCTTCAGCTTCCTTGTGGCATCACTCTGAACACAGAGATATGTACCAGAAATTATTGGAAGACATTGCTGTGCTTCATCGTTTGGCTTCAAGACTGTCCAGTCGGGCTGAAATGGTTGGCGCTGTTCGTCAGGTAAAAATTGAGGATGAACTATATATTCTCAGTCTGAATTGATTATTGATCAATCTATGACTGAACTCTAGCTGAAAAAGAGGCTGAAACCAAGATAACAGGCAAGGTCTTAAAACAATATCCAAAAGTCTGAACCCACTAAGCTGGATTTTTGGTCCAACTACACTGGTAGTCTCTCTTCCCACCCACCCACAATACCATCAGCAACCTCTATGGTTCCAAGCAAAAAAAATTTTCATCCCATTCAAACATTCAAACACCATTCTGGCTTTGTGAGAAGACAGATTTAACGATTTCTTATAATCCAAAATAACTTTATTGCTTATAGCAAGTTCAGACTGAAGGCATTCCATTTACTGAAGGTCCTATCAGTTCACACAGAATAAATTGTTGAGATAAGATAAATTAATCAATAGATTGGAAGAAAAATGTACATAATAACAAGATTAACAAAATTGTGGCTTGGTTATCATAAACAACTGTTGATCCTGAGGATCTTCTCTTCGGAATGGAGGATCTCAGAATATCCAGTACTTTAGGAGTTCTTTGGATCAGATTGCATCCAGGCAACCACCTTGAATAGTATGATAGCTTCTGCCCTTAATGGGTCATAGATTGAAAGACAGAATTTAGATACTGAGAACATTCATTTGAATATTAATAACAAAAAAAAGAAAAATGACATTCTATACAATGGCATTTCCATAACAATATGAACCAAACTGAAGACTTTTCTGCAATTGGCAGGGTCTACTTTTGAGTAAAATCATATAGCTAAAAACTGTTATATACTGCTGCTTCCTTGATATCAAAAATAGAGCTTTATGTGCATTGTTCTTATTTATTTCTTCAAGGAGAAACGAATGTCAAAGGCCACAGAAGTTATGATGCAGTATGTAGAGAATTTGAAAAGAACATATGAAAAGGATCATGCTGAGCTCATGGAGTATAAGAAACTTGCTAATCAAAATTCTAGCAGAAGCTATGGTTCACCAGGTAAAGCATCCTGAAATTTTAAAGACACATTTACATTGCTGTAAAACCTTTATTTGCTCTTCCACACAGTTACATATAATACAGGGTGTCCCAAAACTCTTACTATAATTTTAAGAAAGCTTAAAATTGCCCTAAACCTTTAAGGACATCTTGTCTATATAAAATACCTGATAAATTGAATATTTATTTATTAAATAAAATTGTGTATCTTGATTTAGTCTTAGCAGGAGGCAGCCCAAGGCATAAAAACTAAGAACAAACAGGCTTGGTTAGTACATGTTTTACTAAAGAATTCCAGAGCTCAGAGCTAAAATGAGAAGTGAAAAACATCCTGGAAAGTAGACAGTGGCAAAGCTGTTATCAAATTGTGGCCATGGCTATGAAGTCACCTGGAATCAAATAATTCCACTTAAATAATACTGTACTTTTTTTAAAAAAATTGATTTTAAAAAATACTGTGAGATTGTAACATGTTCAGCCAAAATGATGATACATATTGATCATTATAACAATATTTTATCATAGTTTATAATAATGTTTAATGTTGCTTGATATGAATATCAATACAAAATAATCTTTATTTGTGTTTTCTACTATCGTTTTTTTCATTTGATTTTGTTTTCATACTTTGCAACAGATGACGGTGTGCCTCGTACATCAAGATCCATGTCTCTTTCTATTGGAAAGGTATTTTTTTCAAATTTTAATAAACTGTTTAATACACTATTAAAAATTGTTAACTATAGTATGTTCTTCTGTAAATCTCCTTGTCCAATGAGATGAATCAGGCAACTACTTAAGAGAAGGCTATTATTCATGGTGTCCTAGATAGGATATTTCATCCCAAGGGTTTACAACACACCCAAGCCAGTTTATGATCTTTTTTCCAGCTTAGCTGCAATGCAGAAGGAAAGTTCCATGAAACTGATTTTTATCTGAAAATGCAGAAGATCTGCAAAATGTGGCAAAACAGTTTCCCCCTTTGAGAGAATTGTTGTCTTATCTTTCCTCCCAGTTTTGGAATATTAGCCTGAAGGCGTAATAATTTTATCCTCCCCCCCCCACTAGCCCACAAGTGATTGAAGTAAAACTGCTAATACACTAGCACTTTCCCCTGTGTCTTAGGCAGGGGATGAGCCACGTGCAAAGCACCAGGCTGCTTGGATTTTTGGTTTGGCTTGCTGGTTTGTTTTTTTTTTTTTTTTTCTGTGTTGGGTGGCTACATGAGACTTGTACTATTGCAACAGTGTGAGGTGGGACTATGATTGAAAAACAGAAATAGTGATAGTGAAGTGTTTCGAAGAAAACTTAAATTTAACATAATATATAATTTGGCCCTTAGGAAGCCACTACATTAAGAACTTAGCTATCGGAGACAGCAGAACTGAGGCATGAAATAGGGAATCAGCTCCACTAGAGACAGTTAAGTTTGCTTCTAAATAAACATGTATACAATTATCCTGCACCTTTACACTCTGTGAGATTCTTTTCTAGAAGTGTTATGGAGCCACAGAAACTATTACCATTGCTTGAAAGTTACAGTAAAATTACTTTGTGAATTTTATAGAATTGTATAGCAACTGTATCCTGAAATCTCATGTTTTGCTCTGATCTGTTAGTTGTATTTCTCTTGAAACTATCACAAATGTCTAAATTGAAATATAACATGCTTTTTTGTTTAGATGCCACGAAGGAGAGTCAGTGTTGCTGTTGTTTCAAAGTTTGAGCTCCCAGGGCAGTCACCTAGCCAGTCACCCATACTTTTGGTGTCATCTTCCTTGGTAAAATTTAAACTTGGAAAATTGTATATAAAGAATAAAACTTTAATTTCAATTAATTAAAATGCCATATATTCTAAATCTGGCACATTCAGGTTCATATACATAGAAATTAATGATTACATTTACACTCCAAATAAGCCATTAGTATGCAGTTGGAAGTGAAACAGTATCTTGAAACATTCATCGATCTTCCAGATCATAGTGAAATCATTGTCCACTGGATAAATTAATTATTTGGAAAACATACAGATTATATTTTTAATGTGATTAGGGTATTCTCATATACTAAATGCAATTTATGCTCTTGGAATTTGAATGGCATTGAATGAATATCCTTATTTACAGCCTGAATCATCAAATGGAAGAAGCAATTTGACATCAACTCCAGTCTTACCTGCAGTTATAGAGAAGTGAGTACATAAATATTTATTTCATTAAGAGTGATACAGTAAACAATTTTAGCTGGCATTAAATATCTTCTTCTTTTTTTTAAAAAAAGCAAGGCAATATAATACAACTCGGTAATATATATAGTAATACAGTAATACATACTGTAATATAGTAAATAGTAATACAGCAAAGGGTCAACTGTATTACTGTTCTTAAATATACATTTTGAAGAACAAATATAATTATCTTTTTGGTGGAGTATTTGTTTTTGCACTAGGATTCTAGTGCACTGGGCTTACATACCTGTTTCAGTAAGACCAACTCTGCCCCCCAAAAACGGGGTATATAAGACTGCATCCTTTAAAATGATTAAAGTAATGTCATATGCATCAAAACCTTGTGTTTTAGAGAGAAATTGAGTTCACTGGAAATTAACCATTCAATAAATTTATATAAGATTATAGCTTTAAGCTGTGATGAGACCCACGGTCTCACGGTATTCTGTGCCTAGCTCAAGTCAGCATTGATTGTATCCGTTTCTTACTTGCTGTGTCCCACACATAGAATTAAAATGGCTCATTATTCAATCACGTCATATTTTGCTCAGAGCAGAAATCAAAGTTTAAAAATCTCCAGATCCAGCTTTTAATTGATTGTTAGAATTTAATAGATCACATCCACAGGTAGTCATCATTTAGATCCCCTATTAACTAGCAACAGTAGTAGAAATACAGACTAATTAATTAAATCCTATCTAGATTCAATTGCCATATCTCATCTTTCCCATCAATTGTGTTAACCATAGTTTTACAAAGCAGTCTATATTGGCTGCTCATTTTCTGGTGTTAACTAGACTCTGTATTACACAAACTGACTATCTTCTGTGCAAAAATACACATAGGGGCAAATCTGACATAAAAAATAATATCCTTGAGGCTAAGCATCTTTTCATCTTAGTATGTGATTAGATATTTGCTAGATGGACTATGAGCACTTACTTAAAGGTGGGACCTTTAAATAAAAAAAAATTACATCACTGATAGTGTCAGCGATATAGTATAACATTAAGTCTCATTTGTAATCATTTCAAGATATTATGAATGATACAGTAGTTTAATGTATTCCTGAACAACGATGCTTAAATATTTTTATTTCCTTCATTTCCAAAACATAGCCATGCCAAGAGTGTCATGTTTTGTCAAAAGAATACTGTTAGAAATACAGGATGTTCTGTGTTTTGGAACAGTGCATGAATGCATTTCCTAGAAAGTCTGTATTATACTGGCAGCTATTTTCCCTGGACAAAGAATTTGTCATCTTCAGGAAATACAGCACATTTGAAAAGAGTATTCTGCTGACGTTTTGGAATAATGACTAATGATTTGTAAACTAGTACAATATACAATATAAGTACAATGCTTAAAAGGATCCTATTTATGTGCTTTGTGTCTATTATAATTCTTTACCTCCATGACAAGTTATGGGGTTTCTTTTTAAAGACAAGTTTCAGTTAGAGAGAAAAGAAATACTGGAAACTGGGGAAAAAAAAACATTTTCCCCCAAATAAATAAATGAACTACAAGCACTGATGGTGTGTGTCTGTGTGTAAGTGTTTATACATTTTCCCTTGGGTCACTTATAATTTCTTGTTTTTATTTTTTTCCCTACTTTTATATATAAGCCACCCATATTTGGGGAACCTATAAATTGTATCACTAAATAAGAAAAAACAATTGGGCCTTGGCAAAGCCTATGAGTTACTTATGAGTAGTAATTGTTTTCAGCAAACAAAGCAATAGTATAGTCCAGTGGTAGCGAACCTATGGCATGCATGCCAGAGGCGGCACTCAGAGCCTTTTCTGTTGGCACGCATGCCTCCGCCACCAGCAGCAAGTCCATTAGGTCGCCACTGCCACCTGGAGCAGGAGCCCCACCCAGCACAAAGGTGGCGAAGTGGTCGACTAGCAAGTTCGAATAGAGGTGGTAGAGCAGAGGTCACCAACCATTGTTGATTGGTGGACTGGAAGAAAAGGGAGGTGGAAGCATTTTACATGTGTGCATGTGTGCAGGGGGCCGCAAACATGCACATGCTGCAAATGGGGCGGGGCTAGTGCCTGCGTGGTACGTACTAGCCATGCCCCGTTCTCACGTGGTGCAGCACCTTGTATCTGCACTCTGCGACATGGTGGTGGCCATTTTTGCACCTTGCAGCATGGCCCATTTTTCCGTTCCCGGGTTTTGCGTGCCAGAGGCAGCACTTAGAGGTGCCTCCCTGCCCCCCCCAAGGGCACACCAATGCTGATGCGGCCCTGGCACTTTGTGACAAATAAATGAGTTTTGGGTTGCGGTTTGGGCACTTGGTCTGTAAAAGGTTCGCCATCATTGGTATAGTCAATAATGTTCTATGGGGATGATTCTTTGTGTAGCTGCTTACCAAAGACTCCTAAGAAATTCCTTCATGTTAATGGAGTGGCCCATTAATGAACTGTAAATGCTTGTATACTGGGCCTTGTGTGAAGAAACTCTACCGTTCACAAATTATAGTGGAACTAACGAAGAATGTGCAAATTAAGGCAAAACTTCATGTTCTTAGTGGGAGCTTCTAAGATCATAAATAGGTCCAAAAATAAGGACGGCAAGAAGTGATTTAAATCTGAACAAACTACAAGCAACTATCTATCAAAGAAAGATGATTAGAAAGGGCAAATTTGAGAATTTTAAGGAAACAATAAGGGGGCATGATGGCTCAGTAGTTAAAGACTCTGAGACCCAAACTGGGCAACAGGGTGAGCTCCCAGTCTTGCCCCAGCTCCTGCCCACCTAGCAGTTCAAAAGCATGCAAATGAAAGTAGATAAATAGGTGCCACTATCGTGGGAAGGTAACAGAGTTCTGTGTGCCTCGGCGTATAGTCATACACTGAGTTATATGCTCATGACCATGGAATGTCTTTGCACAGTGCTGGCTCCCTTAGTTAAGAAATGGAGATAAGCACCACCCTCTAGAGTTGGAGGGGAAACCTTTATCTTTATCTTTAAGGAAACAATAAGAAGTCAGGTTTGAGTCAATTGGGTATAAAATACTGTAGCTTCAAATGTCTTTGTACAGATACTAGGACTATTTGTCAGACCTCTGTGTGATTTGAAGTTTAATAGACTGATTTACAACTTGTATTCTGTTAAAAAGTCTCTATTCTAACAGTCCTGGCAATTCACCACTCTTCCCTGCAATAGAACAGGAATGGGCAATCAGGCTTTATTTGGCATATCAAGAGTGGTTTATTCCAAAAATGGATGACGTGCTGGGGGCCGGGGGAAAAATGAATGGGTCTCAGTGGCCATCTTTTGCAATCCGCAGTCCTCGTATCATACTGTATGCATTCCAGCAATGGTGTGACTCAACTGTCTTCAGGCAGTGAAAGAGACAGAGGATAACAGCAAGACATTTTAAAATTCTCTGTTTGCTTTATGGTGGCAGAATATCCTAAAGAAACCCAGTCTTCCTTTCCCTTTTCTTCAAGCAACAATCAGCTTGGTATACAGTAATTTGGGGTGTGTTTCGTGTGAGGCATGTCAATAGTGTTAGTTATTATTTGACATGCCTCAAATGAAACACACCCCAATTTACTGTATACTGTATGAAGGGGGTTCAGCTATTTTTGTATGTTGATACAAAATACCACAGGCCAGGTGAGATGAGTAATATAAAATATGCACCTTCTCACCTGGTTGGCATCTGATGGAGGAGGAGGAGGAGGAACTGAGAGAGGATTAAAGAAGGAAATTGTTGCCTAAATAATGTTTAAACTCCTAAATGTAAACAGCAGACTTTCCCAGGAAAGGCAGTATGACTTTTGTAGTGTTTTCCGTGAATTTTTGCTTTCTCATAGATGCTTCCAGGAGATAGGGGGCCCATGAAGCTGTGGTATGAGATATTCGGTTCATTTATTCGGTAAATAAATCAGACAAGATGAGAAACAGCTAGATTGTATTCCTGTGGGCTTTTTAAAAAAACATATTTTTAAATAAGAACTGCATGAGTTACTTGTCCTGGGAGAAAAGCATACATTATACATCATTTTAGGACAATTTGGACAATTTGCAGAAATGGGTTAAACTGAATTCTCCCCACCTACCCAGTTGCAGTCCTGATCTATATGGGGGCATCTTCTCTAATTTTGCTTGAAGAGTACAAAGCATGTTACATTTGCCGAATCGTGCTGTCTCTAATCAAAACTGTAAAATACATCATTTTCTCCAATTTTGATTGGTTTAGGTGGTGTGTTTGTAATGTTATGGGAATAACTTAAGAAACTGGCCTTTCCTAACCTTTATCACAGCTGAATGGCAGCAAGTAACTATAAGTAAGTAAGTAAGAAGGAAGGAAGGAAGGAAGGAAGGAAGAAGGAAGGAAGGAGGAAGGAAGGAAGGAAAAGGAGAGAGATACCTCATGCTCTTAATATGCAACCTAAATAATGATGCATCACTTTCCTTTTAAATCTTTTAGTGGAAAACAAAACAGTGACCCGGATTGTGAACATCCTCCTTCAGCCTCAACAGAAAGTGACTCGAAAGAGATCAGCCCAGAGGCCAAAGCCAAAATAGAAGAGGAAGCTTATAACAAAGGGTGAGAACTTGAGTGCTTTCTGAAGTAGGACTGCGCATTTTGGACCCTTTTTGTTAACTGCCTGCTGCAAATGTAAATGGATTTCATTACATTGTACAAAATAAGGTTTTGCAGAAACACCTCCATTGTCAATTGCCAATATAATTTATTATGCATCCCATGGAAGACTGAACAAATGAGAGGGCCTAGTAAGCATGGTTTCAAAAACTTTCCTTTCATTTAGCCATTATTGCATGGGAATCAAAGTTTATGCTTTTGCTTTCTTATATGCCCATTTCTCATGATGCATAAATAATTGAGTACATCTCTGTTTCATTTGGTTTATCCTCTGTTGTTATTTCGTATTTACCAAGGCAAACCAAATGATTATTAGATAATTTATTGATTGATTAGTCTTATGAACATATTAAAGAAAATAAAAGTAAAATACCAGGGCTATTTCCAAGGTAAAATGGGGAAAATAAAATACATTTATGCTAAGTACAAAAAAAATCAGTGCTCAGATAAATACATGACCTGTATATAATTCCCAATCTGTTTAATATAATGGGTTATTGGCTGAATTGTCTTGTCTATAAATTTAACATTTCTGTTAGTGTACAGTATATGTTATGCCTAGGAGGAAATAGGACAATCTGCAATTCAGGTCTTAGTGGGCTGGTTTGTCAAATAGAAATTTTAAATATGTAAGCCTAAATGGAGCATACAATTGACAATCAAATAAAACATGAGCAATATCTTCAATGGCTGCAACACTGCATGTACATGTCTTCTCAAGTTGGCAAACGATGGAAGAACTCATATTTGGCCATGTAATCCAGCAACTCAGATCTTGTTCTAGAATAGATCTTTCTGAGGAATTGTGTCAAACTCATTGATAAGTATTTTTTTGTTTGGAAAATGGTTTTGTTCTTAGCCAACCAATTTAAAGATTTTTTTAAATTATTATTATTATTATCGATCATCGCACAGTCAGCCAGATGTTCAGACTGGATTTGGCATTTTGTCTACCTATTGAGTCCTTACCCAGGACCTGGGATAGGCAATGTGGATGTTTGATGGTATTACAGGTATCGTCGCAGGATGGAAGCAGTTCCTAATAAGGCCGCCTTTTGCAATTGACTAATAGCAAATTTGTCAATGCCAATGGTGTTCAAGTGGTGCTCCAGTTGTTTTGGGATTGCGCCCAAGGAGCCTATGACTATTGGGACTACCCTTGCTTGCTTTTGCCACAGTCTTTCTATTTCTATTTGTAGGTCTTTGTATTTTGTTATCTTCTCCAGTTCGTTCTCTTCTATTCTGCTATCTCCAGGCACTGCCACGTCCACTATCCAGACTTTTTTGTCTTTCTTATCGACAATTGTTAAGTCTGGGGTGTTATGTTGCAGGTGCTTGTCTGTTTGAATTCTGAAGTCCCAGAGCAGTTTAATTTTATCATTTTATTTATTATTATTATTATTATTATTATTATTATTATTATTATTATTATTATTATTATTTGCCAACAACAACACTATTTGGGCACTGATATCTAAGGTTGTCTGTTTCAAAATTTTCTTTGCTGTAATCAGTTGAGAATAAATATTGAGTGCAAAAACCTACCCTATGTTTTAAAATAAAATTGGTAAATTCATTTACATAGGAAGCCACAGTTATTTGTTCAGCTAAACATATTTGGGTAACCTATCAGGGTCCTTTGAATGGATCCTCTGCTAATAGTTTTATTGATGAGTGGCTGTGTATAGAGTGGAGACCTACTTCTGCTCTGACCATGGAAGCTGACGTGTTCTTATGAGTTCCTAATATGCTTCTTAAGAAACAGATCTGAGCTTACTCACAGGAGGTAGCCTTTGTAAAATCCCACAGTTCTATGTCAAGTTATCTAGGTAATTGTAATTAAGTAATATATACAATTATTTGGGTGCTTGTCTCTGCCCTCATCAAATTTCTTTTGAAATTATTTGCCCACAATCCTGTGTTGGTAAAAATCATTCCTAAATAAGTGAAAGAATTCACTTATTTAATACTCTCGCCATCCAACTGCCAATTATTTTTCAGACTTTTTTTTTTGCTAAATACCATCACTTTAGATTTGAGTTTATTGATGTGTATGTATAATTAAAAATGTAGTAAGTATTGCTATCAGCCAGAAGTCAACATAATAGAAGAATATTAATAAATAAATCTTTGGGATATGAGTGTCTGATACACTGATATACTGGAATCCTGGAAGATCATTGACATAGAGATTAAAAACCATTAGAATACATCCCTGTCTAATATCTTTATAGGCATGTATGCTCTGCGCTAGAGATTCATTTAACTCTGCATGTACTTTCAAGTGGGTTTTTCAGTGGAGGATCTTAACTAAGACCAAGAGTCTGGGTTCCATATTTAATGTGGCTGCAAACCAAATGATGATGTGGGGCAGATGGCTTTGAGGGGTGTCTAGTTTCATGTATTCAGGAAACAAATTTCAGAGCATACTTTTTAATGCTAGTGCTATGTATCAGAGGTCCCCAACCTTTTGAGCACCACCGACCGATTCCATGGAGAGAGTTTTTCTGCAGACCGGAGGCGATGTGGTTTCATGTACTGCTTGCATCCTGTGGGTGGGGCTTTGCTTGTTTGCACGAACCGGTTTCAGGCATGTCATGGACCGGGGGGGGGGGGGTTGGGGCCCTTGCTATATATTATTCAGATAATTGAGAAAAAAATCAAATTTAGGCAGGGGCAATATATTTTAAAACTTTTCAACCCCAGACCTGAAATCAGATTAGACTTTAGAAAACTTCAACAATATTCTGGCTACAGACATGATAAAAATGAACTGAAGCCTTACTGCTGGTTTTGTCCTGAATGTGTACAGTTCCTTATTCTGATCCATGAATCCCTACATCAGGAATGAATAAATTTGTTGTTATTGTTCAGTGGCTAAGTCCAACTCTTCGTGACCCCATGGGTCAATTAATAAATATGGCAGGGGAAATGGTTCTCTAGACTTCCATAGACCAAGAATTTCAATGTTCTGGAAGTCATCATGAATGCAATTTATGGACTGGCGGTCCTAAAAGAGAAGTGACACATAATATAATTGAGAAATTGGTTCTACTCCTCCCTAATCTTCTTTTTTCTTTAAGTACTGTAAATACAATTCTGAGTTTGCCAATGGATTTGGTAGCACAAAAGAATAGAGCTGAACTGAATTGTGGTTTCCCAAGCTGTGTTCAAATTCATCTCACTAGTAATATACTAGCTATTGCTATATAATTTTTATAAAATTAGAGGTCTAAAATGTTCATCAAAATGTTTCCTTGACTCTGAACATTTCCAAACTGTCTCCTTTTAGGAATGATCTGAACTGCCCCTCCCCAATCAGTCAACCATTGATTTCAGCTCTAATCTTACCATGAATCTATACTTTTACAGCTATCAAGAAGGCCTAAAGAAAAACAAGGAAAGTGAAGAGCTGAAAGAAGACAATGAAGAGAAAATTCATGAAAAACTCAAGGATTTTTTGCCCGTTGAAAATGATAAGATTAGCAAGCCACAGAGGTAAGAACATTGTTTATTCATAATGTAAAGGAGACTATTGTTTTTTCTGATTAAATGGCTGTTTCTGTGTGGAATGGCCAACAATTGAATAGATCAGGATCACGATCAAAGAAGTTTGTTTTCAATCATCTCTCTTTTAAAATACAACGTTAAAACAAAATATGCCAACCCCTTATTCATTTATAAAACCGGAGAATTGGTATAAAAGTTGCAGAATCTTGTACAGAAATAATTCCGTACAGGCTAATCCCTTTTGCAGATCATTCATCCGTTGTTTTTTAATCCCAAGGTGCTTAGAAAAAGATTTGGTTGAAGGAGAAATGCATGATTCTGGGCGAAATAATTTTAAAATTCTGAGAAAACTTTCAGTTATATAATTATTGGGAGAAGGGGAGTATGTTTATGAACTTAGTCCCTGTGTTGTCATAATTCTTTTATATGATTTTAGATTGACATTCCATTTGTTCAGTATAAATCAGAGAAAAAATGTTATAAAGCCATAGATAAAAAGGCTATTCCATATTTGAGATGTAATGCCTTTGAACCTGACTTATTTTATTTATGTTATGTAGGTGAAAAGCAAGGGGAACAGGTCATTCTGGCTTTTGTAATCTTGCCTTTTCATTACAAATTAATTTAGAATTAAAAGACCTTGAAAATTATATGTGAATGCAATAGTGAGTAAACCAGAATTGTACTTCTAATTTTCTTATTGTACATTTGAGCCAGTATAATTGTGAAGAAAAACCAAATTTAATGAAAATATTGGATTATTTTATAGAACATAGGGTGGTTCTCTTCTAGTTTTAACCTAGGGTGTGTCTTGTTTTTCTGAGGTGCTCCAGGAGTTGAAGCACAATAAGGAAAGCGTAGACTGACATTTGGGAAAGGCAAAAATCAGAACCAACCAAACATAAGCAAGAACTCATGTTAAGGCTTACATCATGGTGACAACATGCAACAAAGCAAAATTATTAGTCTACACTTATTGCATCAATCAGTAGGCCTACTGAAAGTGACCCACTCTCTGCTGGGGAGGGATAAGTCACAGAACCATCTACAGAACTACTATGAGGAATATTCTCACTTTCTGGCAACTGAAGTTATCCAGATCCACTCAGAGTTGGGGGATGGTTTCCTCAGCCTCGAAAGGCTGTCAAGTACCCTCTCCTTAAGAGGCCATTGCTGGACCCAACCATCCAGATTAATTTCCATCAAATCTCCAACCTCCCTTTTCTGTGATGGAGGGGATGGTCAGGCTTCAGTTCCAGAGGACCCTGGAAGAAATAGATTATCTACTTTGTCAAGTTTTAGGTCAGGGTTTAGTATGGGGACAATATTGGTCACACTTTACGATAGCCTGTGGTGGAGTCAGGATGAGGGTGGTACATTCATCCGAATGCTCCTTGATCTCTCAGTGGCTTCCACAACAATTAATCTTGGTGTCCTTTTGCACCAGAAGTGGGAGACATCATTTTGTGGTGGTTCTTCTTTCTCCGTGTTTGGATTCAGTCAGTGTGAGAGTGCCCTACACTGGTTGCCATAGGGCTTAGTTTCTTGATGGACAGCTTGTCTCCAACTTTTCCATCCAATTGGTGAAGTCAGGCAGATTAGGCAAATTTCAGGTTCAAAATACGTCATCTTGTGAGGTACAGGAATTATGCCTTCTTGGTGGCAGTGCCTGCTCTTTGGAATAATATCCCCTCAGTGATACTTTTTGCTCCCATTTCAGTGACTTTCTGAAAATTGTTCTCCCAAGCCTTGGGAATCGGATGGTTGTAGATACCTGTAATATTTGTGATATTGTGTTAGTTGGCTGTTGATTTTTATACGTGTCTTTGTGAGATGGGTAGTTATATAAATTAGCTGAATAAAATAAAATGAATGTTGGATTTGGGTATCCTGCTTGAGCAGGGGGTTGGACGAGAAAATCCCCAAAGACCTTTCTAACATTCTGTTACTCTGTTTTTTTTAAAAAAATTATAAAGTGACTACAGCCATTGAGAACTTGGGTTGCTTTGAGAATGTAATAACAACTTTTGACTGTAGCACTGATGCTCTACTTGCTGTTTATATTGCTTTTTTCCTCTTTCTAATGCCTTTAATATAAAATTTAAAGAGAGACTTTTATATTATATAAATCCTTAGATTTGAGCAAACAAGAGAATCCAAATAGATAAAGAAGAATAACTTCTGCCATAATGTGGGCCACCCTAGCTGTTAGATTCAGCACAAGACTCAATAAATCAAGTATTAAGTCGGAGCCTTAAAGGAGATGGTAGCATTGTAGGTAGTAGAAACCTATGATTTGGAATGCTTCCAAAAAACTCATTTTATTGTTTTTATTTATTCCTTCCCCCCCCCCATTTTACAGCAAACTTGAAGTTGTTATCCATTATGTACAGATACTGTATCCCAAACTGCATAAACATGGGAATGTGCTCTGGATTGTAGCAGCCATTATTACAGTTTTTGCTGTAGTGTTGGGGACCTCCAGTTTATACAATTACTTCTTCTCCTATACGGAGGGATCAGATGGAGCGCAAGTGAAACCTGCCTGTTCTGCTGCCCATCGGTATTCTTGGGGAAATTCAGGACTGCAACATGACCAGTAACAAAATCACACCTGAGGGGAAAAAAAACCATTGAAGAGACATCAGGAATAACCCTTTTCGAAACTTGAGATGAACAATGCAAAGCACTGCCACTCCTGTGATGGTTATATGTAATCAACAAACCACTGCTTCGTTTCTTTTATGTCATCAGTTTTGTGAATGCATTGTGGTTTTTAATTAACCAGCCACCCCAGCCAATAAATCTCGTTTTCTCTGTTACGGTAATTGTTATTTGATTGATATGTCTGAATATTAGAAGGATTGTATGGGAAAGACAAAGATAGCAGCCGATCAAAAACTGGGATAGAGAAGTTCATCAGTGGAATGTAAAGTCCAGTCCTACAAAATGTCACAACGGATTTCCTGTTACATAACTGCTAGCATTAATTCTTCCTATAAATTTCAGTTTGGCTGCTGTTTACGAACATCTTAGAGGTCTGCATTTGATTTCACAATCATAGGGATGAGCTAATGGTAAAACTGCAAAACACCGAAATGTTTTGTTATAAGCAGATTCTATACTTATGAGACAAGTTTCTTGCTACCCTCACCACAAAAATAGTAGGGACATTTTTTTGTTAATTACCTTTTTTTAAGGTGAAACTTTACAAGAACTACATCCATAAAGTTCTACCATGTTCCAGTAAGATATAATAGTATTATAGTAATAGTTAGGTTCACAGATCATACTAAACCATGTTTATTTTATTGTATTTTATTGAAAAACCAGTGGTTCACAACCTGTTCTTCAACATGGACTCCCTTTAAAAATATCTTTTATGGCCTCAGACCATGGCCATGGACCTCCAAGACTTAACTCAAGATTTAAATCATAACATTTCTTCAAGCCTTCTCAGATCCCCTGTGATAACATCATGGCTCTCCAGAGGTCTGCAGACCACAGGTTGAGAACCACTGGAATAAACCATAGTCAGTTGGATTTGCACAGCTCTGCCCAAAAATATGCTAAGATGAAAACAAACCAAATTTTGCTTAGTGTGTAAATTCAGTCAATGTGTTATATGTATTACAGTTTGCAGAACCATTGCCTCATAAGTACAGAATTGTATTTCACATGAAGTGTGAGGGTGGGCAAGGCAAGGATGTGTGGTTTTAAATGACAAATGGGGGCATTCTTATGAAGTACTAATCAATTGAATAAAATACTTAAGGTTTCCCCCCCTTATTTTTGCTTTTTTAGAACAATAGCAGCTAATATGTTAAATCCAAAGTAAAGATAGTTTAACAGATAGTGTTTTCAGGAAGAATGTGAACATTTGCCTAATCTCTGTTCACTTTATTCTGGTGAACTAGAAGGTCTTTTTCCCACAAAAAAATAAGTCATGATTTGATTTGACATTGGCTAAGTATTATCAATTAACCCTCATGGGTTATCCTTATATACACATCAGGCTGAGGTTTGTTTGTCATTTTTTAAAAAGTCATGTGTGAAAATGCTGTTAACACCTCAACAGCAACACTTTTTCATATTCTGTGGACCAGCACTGGTTCGCAGCATGCCAGCAACGAGGACGCACAAACAAGGAAATTTCCATCCGCAGGATGCAGGCAGTATGCAAAACCACACTCCCTGCGGTCCGCGGAAAAACCTTTCTCCACAGCGCTGGTCCCTGGTGTCCAAAAGGTTGGGGATCTCTGCTGTAGTGAACATTAACATATACAATTAAATCTAAATGTCTGGAACAAAAGACAGCTTTTTGGTAGGTTGGCAGGAGATGCTCCTTGGAATCAAAAGAGAGGATTTTTGTTCCTGCAGTATAAATAGATTTCCTGACACAATTCAAAGTTAGGAACAATCAAACTGCAAGCATAAGCTCGCATAAATAAGTCAACTGAGTAACAGGACTTGCTTCCAAATAGAAATGCTTAAGATCAGAAAGAAAGAATGGTGCAGTTCAAGCATTCCTGTCTGGTTCATTTCAGCCACTGTAATGCAAACAGCCCCTGCAAATATTTTTTTACTAATTTGTAAAATTATTTCTTGGCAAAAGCATGATGCATGCTGAGATCACACTGCCTTAACCCTTCTCCAAAATTTACTTGCATTATTTGGTGTTTAAAGGGGGCTATTTGACAAAAATATTCAGGATATGAAAGTTTCCCTGAAGTGTGTATGTGGGTGACCAGGTTCTGTCTTACCTCAGCCTGAGTGGCTTGTGTTCCAAGGCTAGTAAGCAGCTTGCAGTTCCCAGAATGCCCTAGAAAGTGCCACCAATCCAGAATGAAAAAACAGACAAGTTCTAACAGCATTTGAGGGGGGGGAGGGCTTTGTTTTGTCCCTATAGCTGCTACATGGGTATGACAAACCTCTTTAAGGCTTAAAAGTACTTATTTGGATCTTCACGTTTCCCAAATTTAAAAAACAAACAAACAAACGATTGAGCATAAAATGTTTGGTCCTGTCACTCATAATGTTGTCAGAGTATTCCTGCAGCATTCAGGCTGAAGTATCTCATAAAGTAAAGCATGGTAAAAACAAAATCTGCCACTCTGTTCTTCACCTTGAGAAGTACTAAAAGGCAGAGCCCAGGGTGAAATTTTGCTCTAGATTACTGGTAAGCTGTCTTTCAATATAATAAGCAGGAAATAGGTATGAAATTGTTTGAAGTAGAAGCTTCTCCCAAACATAATTTGCACGTTTTATGTTAAGTGTTTTGAATACCTAGAGGTCAATAAATGAAGTGCTACCACTGATGTTCAACACAACTTGGTGTAAAATTTTAGCATGGATCAATCTCTAGATGGCCATAGGTAAATAAAATAATAGTATTAAGCATGTTCAGTAAGGCTGGTGAGAATGTGTATTATTTGCTGTCAACCTGGAAGAGTGAGTGAAAGAGGCTAAGGAATCAAACAAACTGCTGTCTTTTGAATTAAGTAACTTCATTAATAAGACATACCCACAATACAGTTTTCATTCTAGTGTAAGAAAAAAGGTCATGAAATGCTTTACACACAAAAGGTTAAGCATGTTTACTCAGATTAAGAATTAATGGACAAATAAAAAACTCAATGTTAGAACAACTGATCCATCCTTGAGAGTAGACTATTATATGAAAGGTGAATGACTGTCTTTACAAAGCAAAGTACTGAGATAAACAGTTTTTCTTCAGCTGTCTCCAGACCATTACTTTTTCATTAATAGGATTTGAAGCCGCCTATAATTATAATGCATAAAATTAGTTCATTGGGGGTTATTGGCAGGTTGAGAAACAAATCAATGACTCTCTTTTGTGAAAAATAATTTTTAAAAACCAGGGCCTTTGTTTCATTACAACATCAGAACATAGACATTTTTATATTTTCAAATGTACAGGATTTATACACTTAATTGACTAGATCATCTTATTCCATTTGCACCAAATAAGTGCTATTAAAGGGTCTGGTTGGTTGATTTTGTTTTTTTTCCTGAAGTGCAATATTTATTTATTTGGCTTTAATAAGACACATTTGTTTCTTGTGCACAGCACTGGTATTTAAAGTAGGAGGAATTCAAGAATCACTAATTTTTGTTTAAATCTTGTAAGATTTTGCACAGGTGTGCTAGTATTGTACTGTATAGCATCACATACTTGAGTTTTGAAAATAAAAACATTGTTTCAGAATCTTTTGTGTTACTCATGTGATTTATACATTTTGTGTTTGTGCATATAACAGCAATTCCTCTAGAGAACACATTTTAGTATGAACATACTAAGATTTTTATTCTGCCAGATGTTGCTTTATAGCACAGAATAAACACTGAAGTTCACAACTGTTCTGTCTTCATAGATAGGAGTCTTGCCCGTAAACCAATAAGGAAGCAAAAAATGATGATTATTCATTTTTACACTTCCTTTGTACTTTAAAGGCATTTTGTATAATTTCTATACAGGCCTGCCTGAGAACATTTTGTTGTCTGAGGCAAAGCAAGTGGTGCCTCCGCCCACAGGATGCACAGTACTTAAGGCAATTTTGGAACAGAGGTCAGAAAACTGAGCAAACACCACTTTTGATCCCTACTATATTCAAAATTACTTTCATTTAACATATTTGGCTACATGAAAGATGGAAAATCTGTGCTTAAATGTTGCTTAATTTCAACTCCCAGTAGCCTCAACTACAATGGTGAGAGAAGTTGGGATTTGTGGTTAAACAACACCTGGAACCATCATTTCCCTAGTCTTAAGCTACATGGTGTCAAATCAAAGTTTATAGGACTCCCAAATTTTACAATGTGGTTAAGTGGTGTAGTGTGGAGAATAGATTGTCTGGCCATAGACATATAAAATGGATTTTTTAATCTACCAAAAAAATAACAAAAATGTTAATTAACTAAAATATATCTAAAATATAAAATTCTATTGATAACAAATAGGACATTAAAACAGATGGGACTCGGGGAAATTAAAAGCTCACCCTAAATAAAGAAGATTTTGGGCTTCACAAGAAATTGATGACCTCTTCTTTGATAACTTCTTAAGTCTGGGAGGAGCCACCAAGAAAGATCTGTCTTATGTCCTATAAGTACAACCGGCCAAGTATGTATATTTAATCTGGAGGTTTTTAGAGTTTTTATTGTTTTAAAATGTTTTTAGTATTTTTAATTTAATTGTAAGTCATTGACAGAGATGGGTAGCTATAGAAATTGATAAATTGATTGATTAATTGATTGATCGATTGAATGAATGAATGAACGAATGACTCAATGAATTGAGTCATTGTAGTTTCCTAAGCATATATTTTCCCTTTTCTGCATTTGCACAATTGACAAGCCTATTTTTTTGTTAAATCTGAAGACCAATTTCTATGGTGGGAAAGAGCAAGAAATGTAGCATGCATATCTGGTGCTCACTAGGACAGATGATATTGGTTTAGAGTACCCTGACATTTCCCCACCCATACTGCTGCTAGTAATCTTCCTCATTGGCTTTGTAGGGTCTGATTGTTGGAAACTGTAGCAAGTATCATCTACAGTACACAACTATAATTTTCCCACCTGTTTTAAAGTTTCTTATTTATGTTTTCCATCTCAGTAGACAGTGCACCTAGTTGACCTTGGCTGATCAAGGAAAAGGTAAGTAGGGTTCTTCTTGGTTAATAGTAAGTTGGAAGACTAGCTGTATGCCAAGCTAGAAAATCAAAAGGACATCCAGCATCAGGCAATAAAAAATCACTTCCATATTCTTGCCAAGAGAACGCCATGTACATCTTCATGTAGGCCTCAGGCTAGTGGTTCTTAAAACTGGGAGTAGTTACCTCTAAGACTAAGAGGTTAATTTGGGCTTATCCTGGGGGTAAAGGGAACCGTTTTATTTGTAAATCAAAGATTGAGTTTTGGATTGATGCTACTGAAATGCTTGTGTGAAACAACAGTCTGGTTTGATGGTACATTTAATGACATTCAAAACTAAAAAACAGGTTAATTGGATCAAACAGTTTGAGAACCGCTGTCCTAGTAGCTGGATAATGTGGATATTAGGCAAACCTTCCTTCCACACTTGGAAAGACCTTTTTTGGAGTAGGAATCCTCTTGCCTCATTTTGCTGGGGCATCTTAAGGTCCAAGAATATGGGAATAGATATTCCTTGAAGTCATTAAATTCATTCCAGCTTTAATCCAACATCCATTCTGAAAATAGTTTAGACATCCTGATTCAATGCATAGATAGATTCTTCCATCACAAGTAGCCAACCCATGTTATATCTTTTTTCTTGTAAACGGCTGCATGAGTTGGATGAAGGATGAGCAAACAGCAAGTGACTAAACAGGAACTATTACAGGATAACCACCTGAGGTACACTGGGAAATCTTCCCACTGTTTATAAGAACAAGACTATTACACTATGTTATCTCTCTTCCTCAGATGTATATTTTCTGAGTCAGCACTCATTGTATTTTCCAGACTGCCCATGACAGGTTGGGAAGGGGAGGGAGCTGTCATGTGTTTTCAGATAGTGACCTTAGTCAGTGAATGGCTTTTGAGCAGAGCAATAAGTTCAGCTTTGCTTGTAAAATAGTCAGTGGCTGTTTGGCATCCTTGACACCAAAGTGATAAAAGAGGAAGTAAAGAAGAAGAAGCTATTTAGCAACTCATGAGAAAAGAACATATTGGACGTGTTCAAGGAGTAATATAGCATCACACTGCATTCCCAACATCAGAGGAAAAGCAACAATCTGAATCTCTCAACCCTTTGGTGTTACCAACAATGGCATTCCATGGTAGAACTGTCTCTTTTTTCTTCTCAATCTGTGTGGCAAACTTCATAACACAAGATGTAATTCTTCTGAAAAGTAAGTTTCCATAAACTGCTAGTTTTTCAGTATATTCTGTATTGCACCAAGGAAGGGTATCTTTTGAACAAAAATTGCAATATTGTAAGGTAGGGAAGGGAGCACAGTTATTTCCAGGAACAACAGTATTGGTCTTTTTAAAATTTATTTTAGAGCAAGAAACATTTTAAAAAAGTTTATGGCACCTTAAAGTCTAAGAAAAGTTTAATGGCCAAGGTTCTAGCATAGTTGTAGCAAATGATCGAGCCTCAATTTGTTCAGATTACGAAGAACACTAGCCAGTTTTGTTTCTCAAATTGGCAAACCAATTAGGAAGAAGATGCTGTGCAAACTAGCAAAGTTAGTTGCAATGTGCAGAATGAGTTTTATTTATTGAATTTATTTTTGCTCATTCAAATATACTTTACTGGTTGGTTCAGTGTCTCCTTTCTAACAAAAATATGTCAGTTTAAGATAAGGATGGAATTTTCATGGCCTAGAGCTAATTTTGTCATGTGGTTGAAGGACTGCAGCAAATTAGGAGGCATGGATGGGATAGGAGGCATGGATAAGATGTCAAATGAAAAGAGAAACAGTTCCCAAATGAAAAATAATTACATTTGATATTACAAAAACAAGTACCTTGGATATTCAGAATGCGTGTTCTGCTAGGTAATATGCTGTAGTTTCATCTTATAGCGAGATGAGAAAATATATATACAGAACATTAAGGATGAGAACAGTAAGGACCTTTTTTGCTTTTGTATAAAAACTATTAGCAACTTACTTTTAAAAAGAATGTTTCTTATACTAAAAGTCTGCTTCTTCCTACATTCAGAATTTGTCTCAATCATCAAACCTTTTGATCTATTCTTCTGGGATATATTTAGTGATAGTATTTTGAGGGATGGTTTTAGTTTTCAGGTATCACCACTGTTGTGGATGTCTTTGTGTTAAAATATGCAAGTATTAGAAAGTCTAAATTCATTATTATTTTCATGCTGTCAACAAATTCAATTTAGTCATAAAAACTTCACTGGAAAAATTATATTTTTATTATAACAGGCAGTCAGCAGTGGAGATGCCATTGTTGACTGATCATATTGGAAAGACATTATGAGATAGTGACAACAGACTTGCTGTAGAAATTACTGAGTATTACTGGAGGAAAGGAAGGATTCATTTGGAAAGGATAGAAGGAAATTAAGAGTAGTGCTAAGCCTACTGAAGTTAGAATGCATAGACTAGACCAGGGGTAGGCAACCTTGTTCTCTTTTATGACTCGTGGACTTCAACTCCCAGAATTCCTGAGCCAGCATGGCTCAGCTTGGAAACCTCTCCCTTTCCCCTCAGCATGGCTGACTCAGGGATTCTGGGAGTTGAAGTCCACGAGTCATAAAAGAGCCAAGGTTGCCCACCCCTGGACTAGACTAAGCTGTACGACAAAACTGGTCAAGGGCTTTCTTCCCTGAAGGTTGCATTTCTTTAAGGATGATTTGTTGGGGGAAATGTGTATGTGAGTTCAAAACAAACAGAACCCCTAATTCTCTTTCTTTGGAAACCCAATTTTCTCTCTTTCTGGCACCCTCTTCCCTATGTCTAGTTTAATGAAGAGAAGGACTAGGGGTGACATGATAGCAGTGTTCCAATATCTCAGGGGTTGCCACAAAGAAGAGGGAGTCAAGCTATTCTCCAAAACACCTGAAGGCAGAACAAGAAGCAACAGATGGAAACTAATAAAGAGAGAAGCAACCTAGAACTAAGGAGAAATTTCCTGACAGTTAGAACAATTAATCAGTGGAACGACTTGCCTCCAGAAGTTGTGAATGCTCCAACACTGGAAGTTTTTAAGAAGAGACTGGACAGCCATTTGTCTGAAATGGTATAGGGTTTCCTGCCTGAGCAGGGGGTTGGACTAGATGACCTCCAAGGTCCCTCCCAAATAATAATAATAATAATAATAATAATAATAATAATAATAATAATAATTTACTATCCTTGTTTCTCATGCATCAGACTGTCTGGACCTTTCATTACCCACTCCAAATCTTTTTTTTAAAAAAAAATAATGTTATTGACATTTTTAGTAAAGACTAAAATAAAATAAACTAGAAGGAAAAAGAAAAGTTAAAGACAAGTTCAAAAGGTGTAGGGAAAACAAAAAAGGAAAAAAGAAACAAAGCAATAATAAAGATATGTGGCGTTCAACCTTTGTCATACAGTACCAAGCATAAGCTAATATAGTAACTTTTCACCCTCTTTTAAAATTACAAATAAAAAAACCCTCTTCCCATAGCTTAACTGTTATTTATATGTAATCCATAATTTTTTATCTTTTTCAGTCCTGGTTCAGCAAAAAGTCCATTAGATGTTAGAAATTACAACTTCCCAAGATATCAAACACTTTATCCCTGATCAAATAGTCCCACTTTATATTTCTTCTTTTTGTTCTTAAATGGTCTTAACCTTTAAATCATTCCAATGTTGTTGCAGATTTGATCTTTCATCAATCTTTGGTAATCAAAGGGGGTCTTCAAAAGTTTCACCAGCTTACTTTGTAAATCCCCAAAAGGGGCATTGTCCAGGATTTTTCAAGGCTGGATACATGGTTTGGCCCACACCAAATTGTGTTTGCTCAACCCCACTTCCCAGATCCCATAGTGTTTGGCAGTTTTGGTAGAGAGAGAAATGCCACACCAAGGTCTCTAGGAAATTAATCTGATGTTTGAAAGCAGTTCTTCCCTGTCCTTGTCTGACGTTCAAATCCATCTCCCCCAACTGGATACCAATGGAATGTATTGGACCACAATCTCTCCACCAGTTGAATTTATAATGCTATTCTAAGCATTATACCAATTGGATCCTATAAGTAAAAACCTATAGCTAAAATATCTTGGATGTATGCAGCACCACCATCTGTAATAGCAGGGGATCTCTATCACTCCTTTGAATATTAGTGAATTAGTACTGAGTAAAGGTACATATTTTGAAATGCAAATAAACATGTAAATATTAAATATCCATAAGTAATCACTTTGATATATTTCTGCTTATTTGCAGATATTTACATGACCAACTGCAGAATTGCAGGTGTAGCGCTTGTTGCAGCCAAGAATGGAACCAATTTTAATTTTGCTGAAGCAAAAACAGTTTGTAGGCAGCTGGGATTAACACTAGCACAAAAATCCAAGATTGAAGCTGCTTGGAAGCATGGCTTTGAAACTTGCAGGTACAGAAAATCTTTCCAACCTTTACTTTTACTGTTTTATGCTAACGTGCATACGGATTACCTTTTTTCATGCCATTTTTTAAATAAAGTTATTATTATTACTCAGAAATAAATTAAGATTGGAAGCATGCAAACAATTAAAAATTAATTAGCCCCTCTTATTCTTTATAACAGAAAAAGTTGGTTATTTATTCCCAAAATAAATTTATTTCCTTTTTTCTCCCAGATTCATATGGATAGACTGAAAACCATCATGTATATTATTTGTGTATAAATATGAAGGAGTGTGGCTTCAGATAAGCACTTGAGGTGCACTTAAATGTATATCTAATAATGTGCAACTTTTGCCACCTTGAAATTTGAAACAGAAATTGTTTGTGAATATCACAAACTTCTCGAAATTCTCCTCAGTTTTCCAAAGGATGAATCATCCTGTGTCACTGAGGGTTGCTTTTCACTGCACCTAACCTGGACATTTTTAAATCTTTTTTACTTTTTGCACAAATGATTCAGGCTGTGGATTACACATGGCACTTGAGAAAAGTGACCTGTGCAAACTCCCCCAAATGAAAATGAATTGTCAAGACAAAAACAAATATCTATTGACTTTATTTTAATTAAAATTAATAGCACTAATTATGATTTACCATGTATTTCATAGCTTTCCCCTTTTGAAACATTAAAACCTATAACTTTTGGAGAGACTCTGAAAACCACAGCCAAAGGTTTATGGGAGGAGACCACTTACTGTGGACTTCAAACTTTAACCCTGAAAATAATCATTTCCCTCTGAGTAAAAAAATAGTAGGCTGAGAAAGTAAGCTCATATATGATGCTATTAGCTTCAGAACTGAACAAGGAAGGTGGAATCATAAAACTGAAGAATAATATTGGGGAAGAATGCTGGCTGGGAAATTCTGGGAATTGAAGTCCACACATATTCAAGTTGCCAAGGCCAAGAAACACTGTTCTGTATAGTACTGTATATATAAACTTTGAATAGTGACACTTCATTGTTGCTAAGGTCATATAGCTAATAGAAATTAATGCTTTTCACTCTAGTTTTGGCTGGGTAGCAGAAGGCTATGCTGTAATTTCTCGTGTAACTCCAAATGAAAAATGCGGTCAGAATAAAACTGGGATTTCCAGCTGGAGAATGAAACTAGACAGGAAAGCTCGTGTTTATTGTTATAATTCTTCAGGTAAGTGGGATGAGATATGGATTGTAATAATATTTTTCACCAAAATCCCTCATGAAAGAATTAAAGTAATAATATTTGTGAAGATTTCCATACTGCTAGAAGATTGTGGCCAACTTCTTGGATTCCAATATAAACCAATTCACTGCACAACAGCGTCCTGGAGAGCTTGAGAAACTCAGAAATTGTAAGTTAAACTATTAACAAGTCAGCTAAGCCACAGTTGACAAGTTTACTTGTTTTTCCCTTAGTCAAAGTTTGTAGCATGAAAGAGCATTATGAAATTTAAATTGCTTTAGGTGTGCCCAAAATATATTGTTCTCTAATTCAAAAAGTTATATTGTATTAAGGTTAGGGATGGATCATCATTAATATTTGCAAGAAATTCTTCTGAAGTTGACTTCTCTTCTTAGGACAGTTCCTTCACCTGCTTTGCTCCCAACTTAGAGAATGCACTTTTTGGGGATTTGCACTTGGCCATACTCTCTCAGAGATACAAAATCTATAAAGACACATAGCATCTCTATCATAGTGCTTGCTAATCATTAGCTTCACTCAGTGCTTTTTTTGTAAGAAAAAAAGTGCTGGAGTTCACACCTTGTTAATCTTTTAATATATATATTTATTGTATTTAAAGCAAATGTTCATAGTAAATTTTACACTAAAAATTTATTTTTTAAAATAAAGAAATTATTTACCTTTAGCACATAGTTAATCACTGTACACACACCCACACATGTCAGTTGTGCAATGAAACATAACGGTCGCCACCCACAGTAAACACTCAGTGCGCGACCACACGACCAATCACAAGCTGAGCAGTGCCACAAGCCGAGCAGCAGCATCACAACCAGCATGGACGAAGTATGCATGCATCGGAATCGACACACAAGCAGCCCAGATGCACCGTTTCAGTGATTTTTCCGCCGATCTGCTATGCTCGACAGGGCGATTCAAGTCCATGTGGACCAAACATCAAATTTTCAAAAGTTACTTTTAAAACTTGGAAAATCAGTTGAAAAAAGGTGCCGGAACTCCCTTCCGGTGTGTTCTATGACAAAAAAAGCACTGGTTTCACTACAGTAGTAGTCTTAATTTAATATTTTTTTCCAAATATTTGTCACTTTGAGTAGAATTGGTGGCTTTTAAATCAGAGAAATAAATAAATCTCATGAAAGAACATTTAAAAAAAAAAGAAAACTGCACAACATTTTGCCCTCTAAAATAATCAAATGGACCAGAATAAAGAATATTGTAATCTGATTTATATTTGCAAGGAACCTGGAATTCCTATGTTGTCATCTGGAATTCTACCCATATTTATCTCAATGGCATCAATTGATGGAGAAGTACATCTTTTAATCAGAAATGATTATGGGGCTTTCAGTACCTCTCTAGAATTAGAATTTGGTCACTTGGACAATCTAGGGTGGTAATGTACTTTCTGAGATCTCAGGAAGTGTTTAAAAAAAACTCTGTTTGACTCCAAATAAAGAGAAAAACCATAAAGAGTTTTACTGGATGACACTTGCTTGAAACATGGAAGATATGCCACTAGAAAATTGCAAGATAGGCCATAATTTAATTCATAGGACATATGCCCAGCCTTATTGAACACAGTTCTCCTAAGAACTCTTATAGGGAAATATGTGAAGAAAATGATTCAATATTAGGGTACTGAATGTTTTGGTCTATCTATTTCAAAAGGGCAATCTAGACATGATCCTAATACTAATTTTTAAACTACAAGCTCTGTTTTAAAGACACATAATTCTTTTAAAGGAGTCTGCTTTAATAACAAGCAAATAAACAACTATATTTTTTGCCATGGCTGATCATGGTAACAGGCATGTTTATAGTATAATGCAGAACCCAATGATCCTTTTGGCTTTTCAACAAAGACTCATAGCAATATCACAATACAGCTTTCATTTACATCCTATTCAGTTCATTAAAATGTGTCATCAGATTTCCTGTCAGAGTCTGACATCAAGATCAGTGCAAGGGTCATTTCCTTCCATCACTACAAATATTAAGATAGTATAGTCATTTGGGTATTATAATAGTTTTCAAGCAATATAAAAAATTGAAATTTGATCTTTAAATTATTTAATCAATCTAATTCTTTTTTGGTCTCACTAGTTGATCAATAATCACTAGTCTCTAATTATTTAATCTCAGTAGTCCTTTATACATAATACGTTGGGATACACCTTACCACAAGATCATTTAAATCGAGATTTTTCTACCAATGCTATTGGTGACTTTTAAAATCATTGTTTTTTCTGGCCAGAGGATCAAACTAAATGCACTGTTAATTGTTCAGATGCAATTAATGTGCATGATTCTACTCTCCTGTACATACAGTATATTTGTCATCAAGAACTCACGGTAGAAACTGGGACATATACTTTCTTCTCTTATTTCTATAGAAAATCACTCTGGTCTCCAACTTCAATTTCCTACTAGTCTGGTTAATTGCATATTTTAAGAAAGGAAACAAGGTATCAAGATAAATATGCCACACAAAGCCATTTAGCTTTCTATGGTCTTGAGAAAGCACACTTAGTTTTTATTTACCCCTCTGAGGAAGGAAGCAGAGTCACTAGTTTACTGTGTTATTTTTAACCAATAACCAGAGAGTAAAAAATAATCAATATAGTGGCTAAACCATGTGATTAAAATCCTCTTTCTTTTATTGTGCACTGGTGAGGTGGGGGCTTCAAACATATAATTGCGACCATCATCTTTATTTTCTTGGACTTGCTGCTGCCTCTATTTTTTCTGATAGCCCCCTCAGTTTTCTAATCTTGTCAACATCGACCTACTGAATTTTGTATTGGAAAAGCAACAAAGTGAAACACTGATGAGACAGAGAGAGAGAGAGGGAGGGAGGGAGAGATATTATATACAGAGAGATTTAGAACACAATCTTATAGTGGCCAGGACGTTATCCATGGCACCATAGCATTCTTCCCTCAGTGACTCAATTACAGTCTGACATTTGATTCTTTCCAATATCAAAAATGCCCAACAGTAAAAATTGCAAATTTAAGTGAATAACAGAATAATAGAGTTGGAAGGGACCTTGAAGTCTTCTAGTCCAACCCCCTGCTTAAGCAGGAAACCCTCTACCATTTCAGACAAATGCTTGCCCAGTCTCTTCTTAAAAACAATTTCTGGAGGCAAGTCATTCCACTGATTAATTATTTTAACTGTGAGGAAATTTCTCCTTAGTTTTAGTTTGCTTTTTTCCTTCACTAGGTTGCATTCATTTCTTCTTGTCTTCAGGTGCTTTGGAGAATAGAGTGACAACTCTCTGGCAACCCCTTAGATATTGGAACACTATCATGTCACCTCTAGTCCTTCTTTTCATTAAACTAGACATACTCAATTCTAGCATCTGTTTTAGCATCCAATCCCCTAATCTTCTTTGTTGTTCTTCTCTGCACTCTTTCTAGAGTCTCAATATTTTTTTATTATTATGGAGACCAAAACTGGATTCAATATTCTTACCAAGGCATTATAAAGGTCTTACCAAGGCATTATAAAGTGGTATTTAAAACTTCATATGATCTTGATTCTATACTAATGCAGCCTAGCACTTTGTTGGCAGCATACTGCTGGTTCATATTCCACTAGGACTTCAAGAATCCTCTCGCAGTTACTACTATTGAGCCTATTCTATAACCATGCATTTGATTTTTCTTGCCTAAGTGTAAACCTTATTTTTCTCGCCACTAAATGTCATTTTGTCAGACAGGCCCACTGAATTCAAACATCTGCATATCCATCATACCCAAATGCAGAAACTAAATGAGATTACTTTATACAAATCTAAATGAATCCTCTCCCACTTAGAAACAATTAGTGGAACAGGGAGGAAGAATTATGACAGCAGCTTCTTCCAGAACTTCATCTTACTGGGATAAACCTAGCAAAGAGTTAGATCTGACAGATACTTCAACATCAGATCTCTCTGAGTAATCTAATAGGACTGCTCTATTACTCTACAGTACTTCCTTTTAGCTATGTAGAATAACGCTTAGTAAGATGTCACCTGCATTCTGTTTTTTATAAAAAATATTGCATACAATAGCATCAACAAATCTCATTTCATTGTTTTCTCGTCCTCTTTTCAGATACGTGGATTAATTCATGCATCCCGGAACAAAGCACAGTTGCATTACCAGACAGTTCCACTGAGATGAAATCCACCGTAACAGCCTCATTTCAGGATACCACCAGAGGGTTTGACACAACTCCGTTACTAAAAACTCCAAAGTCCCCAAAGTATCGCATCATATGTGTAACAGAAACTTTACCATCCGAACCAACTCCCGAGAAGGAAAATCGGCTTTTCACTGAAAAACGAACTGCCTTTAAAAATGAGGGTGTCCCATTTGGAGGTAATAGACATACTCAGTGCTGTGAATGTCATGGTTTTATGTTAGAGCAGGGGTCCCCAACCCCCTTCCGTAGACCGGGCCACAGCATGCCATCAACCGGTCCGCACAAACAAGCAAAGCCCCATCCACGGGATGCACTCAACATACAAAACCAGACACCCTTTGGTCTGTGGAAAAACCTCTCTCCACATAACCGGTCCCTGGTACCCAAAAGGTTGGGCATCTCTGTGTTAAACAGAAGACAAAGGAAAACCTCAGGTTTAAAATTTTTGCTGGCTTAGAGAGGAACTTAAAAGATGTCCTTTTGGGGTGGCAAGATGAATCAAACCATTATAACCAGAAATATAGTCTTTTCCTTTTTTTTTTATTAAAAAGTTTTACAAAAATTACAAAATATAGCCCAAACCCACTCCCCTTTCCCCCCTCCCCCCTCCCCCACTTCCCAGAGCTGAATACAGGGTAAAAAATATAATAATCATAATCTAGCTAACATTAACCAACTATGTAGATAAACAAATATAATGCGCTTTAACGCCCTTTAACACAGAATAAACAATTTGCAAATAAACTTAATCATATAAACAAATTAAAATCCTAATTCCTAAACAATACAATATAATAAAAATTCCACTATACTAAACTATTATTATTAATAATAATAATAATAATATTCTAAAATTTATTCATAAAATAAATGGAACTTTTTAGTCCTATATTTATTCTGAGTATAATCTATCCATCTTCTCCAAACCGAAATGTATCTTTCTTGTGAATGATCCTTCAAATAAGCAGAAATCTTAGCCATTTCTGCTAAATTTGACACTTTAAGCGTCCATTCTTCTATAGTAGGCAAACAATCCTTCTTCCAATATTGCCCTACCAATAGCCTTGCTGCTGTTATTAAATTCAACATCAAATTAGTTTCCTTAACATCAAAATCTACAATATTACCCAACAAAAATAGTTGAGGAGTAAACTTTATCTTTCTTTTAAAAATATTTTGAATGTTCCACCAAATTTTAATCCAAAAAGCTTTTTTATTTCTACAAGTCCACCAAATATGAAAGTAAGTTGCATCCAAACTACCACATTTCCAACATTTGGGCTCCAAGTTGGGATACATACAAGACAACTTTTGGGGATCCAAATGCCACCTATAAAACATTTTATAAAAGTTTTCTCTCAAATTTTGAGCTTGAGTAAATTTTACATTTCTAACCCAAATTGTCTCCCAATGTGTCCAATAGAATCGGCTCTTGAAAATTTTGTGCCCATTTTACCATATAATCTTTAACTAACTCCGTTTCAGAATCCAATTCTATTAAGACATTATAAATTCTCTTTATGTGGGCTCGAGTTTGATTTTTAATCTGTTTTACCAAATTCGCATCCTCTAAAATAATACCAACCTTTTGATCTAAACTCCACCTAACTAACAATTGATTATATTGAAACCAAGAGTGTACAATATTTTCTTGCTTCAACTCAGCTAAAGATTTTAATTGCCAATCCTCCCCTACCAAACTAAGTAATTCCTTATAAGAAATCCTATCCAAATTCACTCCTCTAGATACCCCCTTTATCACGTGTCCGGGAATCCCCCAAATTGGTATTTTATAATTTAACCTATAATAATACTTCTTCCAGACACGTAATAAAGCGTTCCTTAAAATATGAGATTTAAAAACCTGATCTACTTTTTTATTATAAATTAAATATGCATGCCATCCGTATAATAAATCCCATCCCTCAAGAAAAAGTATATCTTTATTTGTTAATTTAAGCCAATCACTAATCAGCGTTAAAGCCACCGCATCCTAATACAATTTTAAATTAGGCGCCTTAAGTCCTCCTCTTTCCCGTGTATCTTGTATAATCTTAAACTTAACTCTTGGTTTTTTCCCTGCCCAAATAGACTTGTTAATACCCTTCTGCCATTCCTCCAAGTTGGCATCTTTTTTCAAGATAGGTATCATTTGAAACAAAAAAAGAAACTTTGGAAGAACATTCATTTTAACCACTGAAATTCTCCCCAACAAAGATAACTGTAATTTTTTCCAATCATTCAAATCCTTTTGCACTTTTACCCATAATGTCTCATAATTATTTTTGTACAACTTAACATTAGAAGCTGTGATGTAAACTCCCAAATATTTAACCTTTTTCATTATTTCAAAACCTGTTAATTTAGCTAACATATCTTTTTCCTTCATAGACATATTTTTCGAAAGTATTTTAGTCTTATTATTATTTACCTTAAAACCAGAAACTTTCCCATACTGGGTTATGATTTCCACCAAATCCCTTACCGAATCTATCGGTTGAGATAATGTCACAACCAAATCATTGGCAAAAGCTCTCAACCTATGTAGTCTTTTCCTTTTGACATGTGTCAAGCCACCAATTCTACAATCCAAATAAGGCAATTAAGAGTTGCTCTAACACAGTGGCTGAAGAGTTTCTCATCCAAATCTTAAATCTGGATATATTAGGTTGCTGTTTTCCCTCAGCTTCAGCATTTCTCTTCCATACTTTCTAGCTACCTGACTTACAAGATATATATTTGGCAAGAATTATTAGTAGACAATGTACATTAAGAGCTTTAAATATACCAAAGCAGTACAAGAAAGTATTATTAATTGGCTTTTTTCATCCTCTCAACTAGAAAACTCTTTGTAATTCAGCTAGGGCCTACATAAAAAAGGTGAAATCCAAGAGAAAATTTATGTTTTCCCTAAGATTTGGGCCATGTTATTGTCACTTCTGTCACTCCAACTACTTACTATTAATATTAAATTAGCAGTTGTTATATGTTAAGTGACTCCTTAGTCAGCCTCCTGTACCAGTTTCATTTCTAAGAATGCTTTGAAAACATTCAGAAAATGGAAATGAGTGACTAACACTCAGTGACTTTGTATACCTGAAAAACCTCAAAAGTATCTTGGAAAGTGTTATGTCCCGAGCCTTGCAAACGGCTCGGGCGTTTGCAGGCAGTCCCGGGCAGGTGCAAAGCTGCCCGGGACCAGACAGGCTGTCGCCAGCGCCATGAGCATGCGCGGGTGCTGGCGCGGGAAAAGTAACACAATTACCCGGGAGTTGCCTATATAAGAGGCTGCGAGCGTTTGGGAAGCCATAAAGCCATCTACTTGTAAGCTGAACGCAGAATAAAGAAAACTGAGAACTCCAACTGCTTCTCGTGTCTGCTTTTCGCCAAGGACTCAACACTGGCGACGAAGGTGGGATTGCCTTACACTGCCTGGAAAGGAAGAAGTGTAAGCTTACCCAAGTGAGTCCTGAGCGGCGGAACGGTGTCGACTCGGCAGCTACCTGCCAATCCAGTGCACATTCGGGGGTAGGCTGGCTGATAGACCCGTCTCCTGAAGATGGCAAAAATTGGAAGGCTTTCGGAGTTCGACGTCTCACATCCAGAGCGGTGGGAGTCCTACGTAGCCAGGGTGGAGAACTACTTCAAGGCAAACCAAGTGAGGGAAGAGAGCTTGAAGGCTGCCACCCTGCTTTGCGTTTGCGGTCAAGACGCCTTCGACATCGCAGAAAATCTTGCAGCACCTGTTCCAGTAGAGTCTGTCAGCTACGCAGATCTGAAGAAGCTACTGAAGGAGCACTTCCACCCCAAGATGTCCATCATCGCATGGCGCCACACCTTCGAGCAGAGGGATCAACGGCCCGGTGAGTCGGCCAAAGAATTCATCACCGCATTACAGAAGGCCGCCAAGCACTGCGAGTTCAAAGACCTCGAAGAACGACTGAGGGACCGATTCGTGTGCGGGTTAAGGCATCGAGATCTACAACAGAGACTTTTCGCTAAAGAAGAGTTGTCCTACCAAGAGGCCTTAAGGGAAGTCACCGCAGAAGAAGCAGCAGGCGGCGCTGTCAAGAACATGCGGCCGATCAGAAACAGTCCAGAGGTTGCATCCGTGCACCAGGAAGACGTCCAAAGAAACTCCGAGGAGGATCCGGACAAGGAAGTCGACCGTCTCCACCCCACGAAGGAAGAAAAACAGAAGGGAAGCTCTTCAGCTCCGCTCAAGTGCATCGGCTGTGGTGGTCGCCACAGGAGAACCGACTGCAAGTTACGCTCCGCTACCTGCCGGGCATGCGGCAAACAAGGTCACATTGCAGCTGTGTGTCTGGGCCGACGAAAGGTACAACCTCAGGAAGAACTGCGCCTGAAAGGTACCAGATTCCCCAGCCAGAATAGGGTAGGGTTTTGCGCTTCGCGAAGAAGCATCCTTAGGACAGGCACACACAAGCCCTTTAAGAAAAAGCTGTCACTCAAGGTGAAGCTACAAGGGGTTCCATTGTCTATGGAACTGGACACAGGGTCTGCCCTTTCAATCATCTCATTGCATACATTTAGGAAGATTTGTTCCGGTAGTGGAACTCAGGCCAAGTTAAGACCTTCTGACATTGTGTTAACAGATTTTCAAAATTCAAGAGTGTGTGTTAAGGGGGAGGCCACCCTTAACGTGCAATACAAGAGTTTTGAAGGTCCACTAGACTAATAGGTACTATGGTGTGGAACGAACGAGTCCTCATTAGGACTCGATTGGTTTTGAGGCCCTGGGATACACGTCACAGGCTCACCCGTTTTACAACATCGACCAACAGGAAAGTCTGCAAAGAATTTTGCAGATTTTTTCAGCCCCAGCTGGGCACATTCAAAGGACCCCCTGTGTCATTAAAGCTAGACCCCCACTGTCACTCCCATTAGAATTAAAGCAAGAAGGGTCCCTTTTGCTTTAAAGAGTAAAATTGACACTGAGTTAGACAAACTGATCCAACAGGGAATTCTAGAACCTGTTGATTCCAGTCCTTGGGAGACCCCCATTGTCACACCTCTAAAGGCAAATGGGGACATTCGCATTTGTGCTGATTACAAATGCACTCTTAATAAGGCATTGCAGCAACATGCCTATCCTGTTCCTGTGGTCAGTCATATCCTGGCCTCCCTCAAGGGGGGCGTGTTTTTGCAAAGCTTGACCTAGCTCCAGCATATCAACAGCTGCCTGTTGATGATGATGCTGCTATAGCTCAGACTATTGTGACCCACAGAGGGGCCTTTAAAGTAAAAAGGCTACAGTTTGGAGTGAATGTCGTTCCTGGGATCTTCCAAAGCGTAATGGAAAACACACTACGAGGTATACCAGGGGTTTGCCCCTACTTTGATGATGTTTTGATTGCAGGAGACTCCACACACATTCTAGCTGAACGGCTAAGGGCTGTTCTGTTAAGATTCAGGAAATCAGGCCTCAAGCTCAAAAAAAGACAAATGCATGATTGGGGTGCCTTCTACTGAATTTCTGGGGTTCAAAATTGATGCTGCTGGGATTCACCCTGCTGAATCCAAACTGACTGCTATTTTAGAAGCACCTAGGCCAAAGTCCAAGGCCGAACTT